CAACCCGGTCGAAAAGCCAATGGATATGGCTTGGCCTGCAAAATCTCATCAAACCGAAAACTTTCCCGTCACCGGAGGTATATTATATCGCCATTACTCTTAATTAAAGTTCCGAGCCATCGGAACTTCTGATGGGTTTCTTCTTGTTATGTTCTGTGATAACGTGCCACTTCTTGTTCGGTTTTCTGCGACATTTTTCACCTTCATTCTTACTGAACACACAGACCGTTACTTGCGGAAGGGGTCACCCATGAAAGGAGACGGTTTCCTTGTGGGAGGGGTGATCGCCTTTGTGATGGGCATTGTGGCAATGGTTCGACTATCCAAGGACATGCCACGAAAACTCACGGAGGCCGCACTGTACGGAACATCTGTTTATTACGAGGAATCGTCGGTATCTAGGCAGAACCAGACTCAGTTCCCGGCCCCGGTCTCGAGCTCCGAGTTCATCTTGATGGTGAAACGAATGGCGGAACTGGAAGATAAATGCAAATTTCTCGACTCGAAACCGACAAATGTTGTTGCAGATGAGAAAGATGAGAAACTTCAAGCTGCACTTAACCGCGTTCAGGCCCTTGAACAAGAGTTGTCCGAGACAAAGAAGGTAAATAATCGATCGATTTACCAACCCTGTCGGTCCAAATACATGAATGTTTGGTCCTTATTAATAACGATTGTTTCTGTATAACGTAATCTTGGGTTTTAGGCTTTGGACGAAGCCCTAGCAAGCCAGAAGGAGATTCTTGCGTACATCGAGAAGAAAAAGAAGAAGAAGAAGAAGCTGGTGAGAGTGTATATACATACACTTATACACGACTTTCACATATCGTATCGTATCAAATTCCGATTGTTTCTGAAACGTTTTATCTTTCGTGTTCTTTCCAGTTTTTCGGGTTCTAAATCTGCGAAAGACGGGACGAGAAGATCAGAAGTGAGAGAATTGTACTAAAGATCCTTCAAGAATCCAAGAACAAGTGCCGGTTTTTTGATCGAACAAGAGAAATTCAACTCCGAGATCGATTTGTTCACCGTCTTTTTGTAAATTAATTTCGAAAGTGAACCCGATGTTGGCAGATTTGGTGAGAGAGTGTGTGTTCGTGTTCGTGTTCGTGTGTGTGTGATTTTACCAATTCTTTTTTACCGTTTTCTGTGGAAATTACCGTGACTTGATACCGTTCAAGACAATATACAAGTTTGGTTGGTTTTTGCATAATAATTATGGCAACGGTCCATCCTAAATTCGTTGGTTTTGAATTGAAACCTAAACGAGTTAAAATTAGACAACCTTAACTCGAAACATTGATGAGATGACATTGTTTTCGTTCGAACCAAATTTGATTTTGATAGGAACATGTCCCATGACAAGATATAGTCTATGATCGGGTTGGTGGGTTTCAACATATTTTGACATTGTTTTTCTTTATACATATTAAATAAAACTATTGAATAACAATGAATTTTATTACGGTGTTTTTGTAATGAAATTTGGCTTACCATGCATGCTTTATAAAAACCCAAAAAGGGTTATATTTTTGTGTGTATATATATATATATATATATATATAGTTGATTTTTCTAAATCAATGTACAAACTAATCTCGCAAATGAGATTAGTTATATGATTTGAAATATACATCTTCTTCCCAAGTTTAAGATTTGATATCGGGATAGAACATACGTTTTTCATCCCGTTTCACAAATTGAACTATGCAAATTAATTTCTCACCGGTTGAACGAGGCAAATTAGTTTATGTCATGGTTATTGTTTTCACTTCATTTATGGTGGTTTCTTCACCTACTAACATTAGGGTAGTATTTTGGTGTGTATGCAAGACCAAATCTTATTTAATTCTATCTAAATTAAATCTGATTTTATAATACATAATCGTATTGAAAATTCAATGGATTCATATGGTTTTGTTTAAGTCAAATTAAAAAATCTAAAATTACCAAAAAGTTCAAGATGAATTTTGTAAATTAATTAGGAATCGTTTTTTTTAATATAAAATTGTGGTTTTTTATTTATATAAATACTTTGGACTTTCTTATAAAAATGTAGAATTGTGTCACCAACCAGTCCGTGACCATGACCAAATTATTGCATCATTGAATTCTGTTCTCTCCTAAGGAAATCGTTTTTTTTTTTTTTTTGTGACAAGTTAATTTGTATTTTTTATATAAATGGGAAAAAAGAAAACAAATCACTCGTGATGCCAAACAAAAACTCCCCAAAACTTTTGATTTTGTTTTTATATTTTTTTTGTACATTTTTTATTTATTTATTTTTTGTTGCTTTTGTTTCTTCCTTTTCGTCCCCTCTTTTTCTTTCGTAGTCCCCACTAAGATTTTGCAACAATTATATATACATGTTTTTTACGTATCAATTTCTAAAAATATATAAATGTTTCGTATTTTTACAGCTACCGTATTCCTGTCATATGGACTGACTGCATTATAATCTTACGTTTCGATTTTTTTTTTTTGGTATTTTGATAGGAAATGCATATCGAGATATTCATATGTTATGGATTCAATGAATCTTGAACTTGAAGGAAACAAAATATTATTGCAAAAAACGCAATCTTTCTAACCAAGGAGGATAACTCACAAACTGTCCAAATAAGAAAAATTTCATATAAATACATAAATTTATATAAAAGTCGGACATAAATAAAACTATAAATTTTTCTATAAATACTTAAACTTTTCAAAAATCCTATAAAAATATCTAAACTTTTCTAAACTTTTCAAAATTTCTCATATAAACTCAAAGTTAATGTATTTTTCAAATAAAAGTAATTAACGTCGTTGGGTTTATTTGGAAAATTTTAAAAAAATTAGGTATTTCTATAAAATTTTTGAAAAGTTAAGATATTTAAAGTATTTATTTGAGATTTTTGTAAAAAATTAGATAGTTATATGCTATTTTTCTTCCAAATAACGATTTGATTTGATCAGATGTTTTATTTATGTATAATAAGCCGTCATTTGGTATGAATTATTATCAAACTATATAACAGTTCTAATATGTATTCAAATCCATACGATTCTAACTTTTTTAATATTTAACCAACCGACGTATTTTCAGTTCCAAAATAATGTACATCTAAAACATTCATAATGACGGTGACTATTGAAATAAATTAATTTTTAGTTAATCAATTCGTGTTCATTTTGACCGGAAAAACAAATGCACAATATACATCATGGGATATTATTTAAGGCCATAAGTAATTATTATTTTAAAAAATAATAGTTAAAGATGTTTTTGTCATTTTATCCAAGATTACGAGTTTATGCTGCGTTTTTAGATAAAAATATAAGCGTAAATTTGTAAAATATATTTGAAAAATAGCTATGAATTCGATAAAGTATAAAATGAATTCTGAAAATTAATTTTATTTTTATTCAATGGGAGATATATTGCGACTCGGATCTGAATGATAAAAGCATCAATAATCACGTTGTGGTCCAATATTTAATATTATAAGACAAAATGTTTTTTTCCCTCCAAATTTAAGAGTTTGGTGGTCAAAGTGATTTTGTACACTTAAAGTGTAGCAAACAAAAGCGACCATTAATCACGTCGTACGTGGTCCATTTAGTGATGCAAAAAGACGAAATTACCCTCTCATCATTATAAGGTCACCATTTTCACTCACAAATATGCCAAATAGTAAAAATAACAATAATTGTATTTACCAATTAAAATAATTAAAAGTTGAAAGTGAAATAAGTGAAAGTGCAACAAATGGACGTACCTAACATCCCCATATATATTTATATATTCCATGAAATTTTCAGAGGGGCCGTTCTAAGAAATCATCGGGGACCATCATCATAATCATCATCATCAATAATAATAATAATAATAATAATAATAATAATAATAATAATAATAATAATAATAATAATAATAATAATAATAATAATAATAATAATAATAATAATAATAATACAAAAAAACATGGAATTCGTCTTTGTTCAGATATATTCAACAAATACATGTTGGTATCTATGGAATAATATATATATATATATATATACACACACGTAAATAACAACAGCTATTTATTTTTTATTTGTCAAATAGATATAAGAATAAAGTCATAATTCATATTTTCGACCCTATAAATTTCATTTAAATTCCCTTAAATCGTTAAACCCTAATTGGTTTGACGGTAAAAATCATATCCGTATGTTATTGTATTTATTCAAATGGATATAAAAATAAGATATTTTCCACTCTGCACGATTCATCTTTTTCCCTCTAAACAAGAAATCATAATAATCGTAACATTAAATTTTATTTTTGTAATTTTAGGTATTTGATTTTAAATTCTTTAACCATTTTTTTTATTTTTTCTGTAAATAAGCTTAAGAAGCCGACCAAATTGATTCGGATTGGTGAAAGTCATGCATAGTATTGGGAAATGGGATGAATCTTTGCACGTTTTACAAGAACCATAAAAACTCCAAATTCCAATGGGAGTATCATAAATTGTGTAATTTTTTTTTTGTTAAAAAAAATTGTGTAATTTTGTGGAGTGAAAATATAACAAAAATAAATAAATTACGAAAAAGTTAGTGGACCATCAATTCATTACTCTCTTTTTAGGTTTTACATTAACATGATCTTCAAAAACTCTTCCCCCTCATACAAAATTACACTATTATTTCTTATTTTCTCATAAATCATTAGAAGGGAATCTAAAATTTCTAATATGCAGCCCATTTACTGTATTATTATTTTTTTAATTCTTAAAAATTATACTGTCTTTAAATCAAAATATTCATACTATTAATCTTTTACAATTTCTTCCATCTTTTACTCTATTCTTATTTAGATTTTCTCACAATTAAATTGTTGGAAGAGAATATAAAATTTATAATATACTTATTTACTGTATTAAGTTTACTACATTTAAATCAAAAGATAAGGTTGCAGTTGGCCACATTTGACATCAAAATTCTATAAACATAAAATACTAAAAACACATAGAATTTATAAATACAATAAGATTTAATTTTATTTATTGGTACAGTTCCATTAATATTTGCAAATATTGATATTTTATTTATAACACTGTTACAAGGAATCTTTAAAAATTATTTTGTCTTTTACTCTCTTCCTGTCTTTGTCCTAAAATTTCATTACACTCTATCTGTTAATCATTATCTTATATTGTGTACTAGTAGAGTGAAAAGGTTATTACAAAATAATAAATGAAAACTAATAACAATCCACATAATAAAATGTAACTGAAAAAAAAATCCCATTAATCAAAGTACCAAGTAAGGTACCATGTTGTGTGAAAATTATATAAAATTATCAAAAATTCAAACAAATGGTAAAATATGAATAGTAATTTCTTTTTAAAAAAAATTATTATACAACTTGAGAGCAAAATTCTAAGTGTGAGTCGAAATGGGCAACAGCTGTATGTGGAGTCCCCAGCTCACATGTACCATCAGCTTTTTCTCCAACCTCTTCTACGTACAATTTACATTTACATATTCTTTTATATATATATATATATATATATATCAGCAGATTCCATTGTTCTTTTTTTCTTTAAATAATTTAAATTTATTCTGTATATTTTTATTTATTGATGGTAGTGATAGATTGTGCGGACATATTGTTTCTTTGGATGGCTTAAAGACAGAGATTCTAAATTCTATGTTTTTTTTTTTAAAATAAGTTTTCTTTGTTGTTGCATATGACAATTGGGAATTATATGATTTTTTTAATTAAAGATTGAAGTGGATTTTTTTTTCCCTTCTTGCTTTTACGGGTTTGTGCTGTTCACAAGAGCAGATAGATTCCACGAAAACAAGTTCTTGATTTTCTTTATTTGTTTTCCAACTTTTTCTTTTAAGAGACAAAAAAAAAAAGACATCGTTTGCATCTTTGTTAACAAAAAAAAATATGCTTTCTTTTTATTTTCTTTTCTATTAAGAAAACACGACTACAAATGAAATAATAATAATAATTTATAATCCAAAGTTTGAAATGACATCATTTTCTTCTTCCGGACTTTTCAACACTAATCCAACATACATTACATCTAAGTAGAAGTAGTCATTTCCTTTAATACACACACACACACACACATATATATATATATATATATATGAATAAAAGTGACTCGATTAATACATAATTATAAATTATACAAATTTTATATAAATACAAGTTTAATAATCGAATTTTTAATTAAAATAATTGAAAAGATGAACAAAACTCATTTCTTTAAAGTAAACACTTCCAAAATAAAAAAAAAATTCAGATTAAGTATAATCTGAATTAAAATAGATATCTTAAAGATTAAACCTTAATGGAATTAAAATTCTACATATGTATTTCTAAATCTGAAAAACGGCAATAATAAATTCAGAAAATATTATTAGAGTGTAAATATTAACTAGTTTTAGCTTCATATGTATATAACATTATACAAAATATATTTAGACAAACCCATTTCATTTCAGGTATGACAATGTTATATTTTTATCGAATATTCGATTGCACGTAGATTCTTTTTTGAATCCATACGATAACGACCATTACCAACTTTGATGGCTACTCTGTTAGGCATCAATTTGGTGACTAATATTGATATTAATGTAGTTTTGTTTGTAGGCTTAAATAATTTAAAATTATATAAGTTTGGGATTATTATGCGTGCTGAAGTTTCGTAAAAATTTGGAACATGATATAATACTTTTTCTAGTAAAAATCTGTGGTAAAATATAAAAAAAGTGTTAGTCCCTAGGTTTTCAAATAAATGACGTTTTAAATCTTTCCACAATTTTAAAGAAATATAAACAAAATCATATATATCCTTATTAAATCACATTTCCATTAACATTCCATGAAAATTAGATATTTTTAATTAAAAAAAATTATAAACTTTTTTTAAAATAAAATAGAAAATCTAAAACGATATAAATTTAGTAACAAAATATATTCTGTAGAACGTCATTAGAAACGGAACGAGTATTTAGAAAATTTCTCATAAAATTACAGTAAGAAAAGAATAAACGAACTACGATCGAATTACTAAATTATTTGATTGATTTAGTTTGTTGGTAAGAAGAAATATATTCCTCGTATTTTAAAAATTTTCATGACATATATTTTTCAAGAAAATCTATAGTTTCAAAGACAAACTTTTTATATTGCAATTTTATGGCAATGGTAAAAAAAACTGTTTTTACATCATTTCAAAATATCTTCGAGATTTTGCCTTTTTAAGGATTTCAATTTATTACAAAGGAGAAAGAATCTGCTCCAAAGTGAGATCCCAAAGGGGCAAAAAATACTTCCTCGTCAAGTTGCAACTTGCAAGAGCCTCCCCTGTTCCTCTATAAATTTCCTCTCCTAAACCTTCCCAAGCCCCCTTCTCTCTCCCTCTCTCTCTCTCCCCATAGAGATCTCTCCCGTTCTTATACTCTCTCTTTTCCCTCTCTCTCGCTCCATTTGCAGGGGGAAGACCCTGTTTTTCAAGAGATTCACTTTAAGATCTTAGATCTTGAGTTTTTCCCCCTCTTTCTCTGACGAGAGGAAATTGCTGGAGCAAGTGAATCAAAGAAAGAGAAAATCTTGATGCTGAATCCGTTGTTATTGATGTTTGAGATACATGTCTCCAATTCTCAGTGAAATCCTCCTCTCCGGGTTTATGATAAACTCCATAATCAGGCGCAGGACCCATCTTGTTCAATCCTTCTCTGTCGTCTTCCTCTACTGGCTCTACTATGTCTCATGATTTCTGAAACCTTTCCTCTCTAAAAATCTCCTTATATATAAACCCTAGCTATAAACCAATAAGCTTCTTTCGTGTTTCTCCTTGTTCTGCCGTATCTTAGATCTTGTTTTCCTTCGTTTTTCTCATCTGGGTCCTGCTGAATCCACTGAAAACCCATAAAAATCTCTCCTTTACCCGTTTGGATCCGTAAAGTTGCAACCTTGTTTGTCTCTCTGTGTTTGTCTCTCTGTGTGTCTGTGTGTGTGTATGATATTGATGGAGTCGTCGTCGTCGCTGTTGTCGGAAGAGAACAACAATCTGCAGGCGGTGATGGAGCAGAGGAAGAGGAAGAGGATGATATCGAACAGAGAATCAGCGAGGAGGTCGAGGATGAGGAAGCAGAAGCTGCTGGATGATCTGACGGCTCAGGTTGCTCAGCTGAGGAAGGAGAACCACCAGATCGTGACAAGTGTCAGCATCACAACGCAGCATTACCTCGCCGTCGAGGCTGAGAACTCCGTCCTCAGAGCACAGATCGATGAGCTCAGACACAGATTGGATTCCCTCAACGACATCATCGCGTTCGCCAGCAGCAACAACAACAGCAACAATGGCGTCTATGGATTGTGTTCGAACGTTCTTGATCACTCCCAGGCTGATGATCTGTTCATGAATCAGATTACCATGAACATGTTTTACCTGAATCAGCCTCTAATGGCTTCCGCTGACGCGTTACAGTACTGAAATTTGTGAAACAGATGTTCTCGATTTCCCAAAATGGGCCGTCAATTTTTTTTTTTCTGTCAGATTTTTCAGACATGTCGGAGAGAAGTAGAACGAGATGGGTCCTTTTGTTTTGGGTATTTTGCATTTCTTCTGCTTTTTTTTTTTATAAAAAAAAATCAGGAGTCGGGGGATCTTCATTAGTGTGTTGGAATAAAGAAATCTATTGTAATAAAAGGGCATTTGTGTTCTTGGTTTTAAAATTTGACGATATATTAAAAATATTTTATTATGGATTTGTTATATATGCTTACAAGTTACAATCTTAGTATATGATATGCAAATTTTAGTGAGAGTTCATTCATTCAAAGTTCATACAATTAAGGTTGCATATAGACTCCCTCTACTTGGATCAAGATAAATGTGATAACCCAGGATACCGTAGGAGGACGGGAAGTGATCGCCGGTGCGAGAGGCATGGACAAGGGGCGGCTCCTGACGAGCTTCTGGGTAGGGGGTACAGGGATGAATCGAACGCACCAGAATGAGAGAGATCCGATGGCTGTGTAGGTATGTGACTACACAGTCTAAGATAACTTAAAGGAATTAATTGAGCTACTCATAGCAACAAGATGCATCTACCTTTTCGGTTACCCATCTCGAGAGAACTCCAAAGTTAAGCGTACTGGCCTTGGAGTAGTCTTAGGATGGGTGACCTCCTGGGAAGTACTTTCCGGGATGTATGTGAGTGAGAACAAAACACGCTAAAAGGTCTCGTGTTGGTGTGTGGGGACAGCTCTATCATTCCGTAGCGACCTCGGGTCGTTACAAATGGTATCAGAGCCTGATTCTCTCCCAGTACGGTGTGGTTCGTGGACGAACCAGGTGGAAGCTGGTGGGCCTGTGATAACCCAGGATACCGTAGGAGGGCGGGGAGTGATCGTCGGTGCGAGAGGCATGGACAAGGGGCGGCTCCTGACGAGCTTCTGGTTAGGGGGTACATGGATGAATCGAACGCACCAGAATGAGAGAGATCCGAGGGCTATGTAGATATGGGACTACACAGTCTAAGATAACTTAAAGGAATTAATTGAACTACTCATAGCAACAAGATGCATCTACCTTTTCGGTTACCCATCTCGAGAGAACTCCAAAGTTAAGTGTGCTGGCCTTGGAGTAGTTTTAGGATGGGTGACCTCTTGGGAAGTACTTTCCGGAATGTGTGTGAGTGAGGACAAAACACGCTAAAAAGTCCCGTGTTGGTGTGTGGAGACAGCTCTATCATTCCGTAGCGGCCTCGGGTCGTTACAATAGATATCTCAAACATTTGTTTTGTTAGATGTAATTAATGATTTATTTATAACGGAGATTCTTCTTCCACTCTAATGATTCTGCTATAAACATTTTTTTCCATATTTGGTTCAACTGTTTAAATTTATTTCTTTTAAATAATATGGTATGTAATTATGGATAGATAGAGAGAGAGGACCATATGTTAAGGTTGGATAATTTTTTTTAATTCGTTTTTCTAAATTAGAAAAAAAAAGCATATCATACGCATTTTATGTCATTCGAATTTTCTAGATCGAGTTTTTATTTATTTCAAATTTAATTTTTACTATAAAATATTTATATTAAAAATAATTTTTTGTTTTCAATTTGATTTTTCATTTATTCTTATATTTTTATATAATACCGGCTTCTAACAATCAGAATATACATCCATTCCTAAAACTTTGAAAAACAAAAAATATGAAAGAAAAACCTTAATATATAAGTATTTGTCATTGATTTGTATAATTTATACATCTAACGCATGCCAATAATTTGTATAAAATGACACCTTTCATATTTCTTTTCCTTCGGTTTCTTATTAAGCAATGAATATGTCTCGGGAACGAAGTCGAAATTTTATTGGAAACAAGAAATACAGAATTATATATATAGAGTGAAGGTCGATTAAAAATTGAAAAGGATAAGAATTTATAATCGACCGCCGGACCACAGCATGTGCAGGGAACAATATAATTACGATGGTTCAACAAGTTATGGACTTATGTAATTACGTGGCATTAGTATTCTATGATCTGCCTGAGCAAATTTAATAATTAAATTTTGCAAATCATTTGCTAATCGATTGCTTTTTGTATCCAAGCCCATGTTAGCGAAATAGGTTTATGTCGGTTCATTTAAATACATAGCATTAGTTTATATAAGTTTTATCAATTTTACGTGATTTTTTTTAGGACTATAACGTGTTTTCAAATTTTTGTGATCGTTGTTATTGTAGCTTTTATTTGTCAAAGGATAGATAAAAGGCATTGAAATTTTATAAAAATATATCCATTTACCATTGATGTTAATAAAACAAGTGCAACAATAGATTATGCATATATATATATATATGCATAATCAAATTAACACTATTTATTTATTTTATTATATTAATAATGTCATGATACTGAAATTTCATCATAGATGAATTCTAACGTTCCAGCCCGTGTGAACATAATTATCGTCATTTATTTTCTGTTTGTTTCTATTCACCCGACAGCCAAATTAATTACAATTTCGTACTCTTCTTATTTTTTTTGCAGTTAAAGTTCGCGTAACACTAAATTAAAATGAGACTTGTGATCCGAGATGTAGCAATTTGTACATTGTATATATATATATATATATATTGTGGTTGAGATGCTAAATAAAATGGTGCCATTTTTGTACTTGCAAAGGTAATTGAATATGGACAAGGACTTGCGAACAACTCAATTTTTTTTTCCCTAATTATTAAGAATTTTTTTCTGTTTGATTTGCAAATTAATTTGACATGCCATGATTCGCAATAAAGTTTATTGCAAAGTACATATAGTCCTAATAAAATTCAATTGAAAATCTTGAGTTTATCAAATACTAGGGTTTACGTATTATTATATTTATATTTATTTAAAAAAACTACGAAATATATAAACTCGTTTTTTTATACGTAAACACGAATATTGTTTTATATTTTCCATATCCTTCTTTGGGTTTCAGATTTTTGGAAAGACGTTGTTTAAGGACGACGACAAGAGATAGCCTAGTGACTTGATTATTTTTTCTTGGTTTATTTTGTTTGTTTGTTTCTTTCTTAATTAATTCCAACAAATAATTTAAACAAAATAAAAAAATAGTTTAAAATATTTATTCGATCTCTAATATGATTTTCTTGCGTATACGAGTTATTCACACTCATTGTCGACCGTTTCAAGTATTTATTTCTTACACATTTTCTCATTTTTTTCATAATTAATGAAGTATACATATACACATTAATTCATATATATATATATATATGAGGCTGGTTACACGAATATCTTGGGAATTTTCAGGAAGATTCCATAAGAATTGAGACGGTCCAAAGAAAAAGAAAGCAACGTAAAGTCGTAAACGGAACCAAAAAAAAAAAAAGAGAGAGATGATTATAAAACATTTGTAATGATTATACATAAAGTCTAAGTGCACACATGTTTTGTATAATACATAGTGTCGTATTGTCGTATTTTTCGCTCCCACGTAATGAAAAAAAAAACGCATGAAAAATACAAAAAAAAAAAATAATTAAGGTTGTCACTTTCATTGTTTTTTGTCGCGACGTATATAACACATGTCCTCTAATTAGCAATTAGGGTTCCGTAAGCGGTTTTGCATCCTGATTAGACCTTATTAGTTATCATTGACAATTAACCTACAAAGAGCATGATTATAGAAGAAGATAAAAAGCAAACTAATTAAATTAACCAAAGTTAAACACGTCTTTTGATTGAATTATTGCCCTTTTAATCCCATCAAATTAGAAGATTTAATTATTGTGCAATGCATACCTCTCCATATTTCTTTAACATGATTTTTTTTATTTCATATATATGAATTTTGAATCATATCAGTATTCCAAATGTTTTTATTTTTAATAATTTGATCTAAATAACAATAATAAATTCACGAAGCCAAAATATCTGAATGAGAACGAATCAAATAAACCTGAATTTATATATTAATCTATTCTATTAATGGATTTGTGGTGCTGATACAAAATTAGATTAGATCTTTTAGATCATCTATTAAATGAGATTGTAAATTTTTTTTAAGACGGATATGTGACTCTAGGAACCGTAATACACAATAGATAAAAAAAAAATTGATGTCTAATTTTTAATATAAATGAACATTATAAACTAGTAATTTTATAATCAATATAATATCAAAGTGATATTTAAATCCCATAACTAAATTTATGTAATTAAAGTAATTTACAACGCATATTTATATCTAGTTTTAAGGATTTTTAAAATTAGCTTTCATGAAAAAATAATAAAGAAAATGTTATTCTTGACATTATTCTTTATTTTTCTCGATTGAATAAACAAAACGGATATTGGCATTTGATATGAAGAGTGAACTATCAGAGTGGGGAAAATATTTTTAGACGACTTATTTAATTTTTTTTATTTAACGAATGAAATATAAAAAAATAAGGACCACAATGTTACAAAGTTTGAAAGGAAAAAGACTGAATTAACAAATAAAGTAGAGAAGTCGGTGCATTTATATAGAAAACCTTATGATAAAGTTATAAAGCTGTAAAAAAAAGGAATAAAAGAGGAAAATATAGATCTACACTGTACAAATGCACATTTATTTTGCACTGAAAATTAAGCATTAAATCAATAAAAAAAATAAAAGTATAAAAAAGTGGTCACGGTCTTTCACCCTCCTTTATATGTTTTTTTTTTTTTGGTAAATCTTCTTTATATGTTTGTATAGGTAGAAATATGATTTATAAATTTATACAGTTTTTTTCCGGTAATCGAAAGATTCACTGTATTTTCGACCCAACTAATCTCCAACCCGAAACCAAGATTAATTTTTATTTTTCTAAACAATCCATACATACAGTTTTGTATCTCTAAAACTTATAATCTCTTAAAAGATTTTATTTGAAACAAACCATAAAATATTCTATACAAATATTTTTATTTTGAAAGTTACATATTAATTGTCAAAACAAATTCTATAAAAATTTTGCACGTGTACTCCACTTGCATTCTCTATACAACGATCCTATATAAGTATATAATTATATATTTTCATTTCATTGGAATTTACGGATAATATTTTTTTTACATCTCAATTTGAAAACCGTTGCTTTTTAAGCTGGAATATATTCCACAATATATTTTATTCGCATAAAAAAATGTTAGCCAGCGTATGCCCGTTTAATTTGTATCATTTTATTCTATGGTTCTTCTCCATTCAATTTCAAAGTGTCTTCGAGGAGACATTTATTTTATTTTCCTTTAATATTTTTTATTTTATTTTATGAGCGGTCTCAATCTTTTTGAATTTTTTTTCATGGCCGCTAATTTTAATGGTTGCTCCAAAACCAGCAACAAACATAGATTCTACCTAATCGTTACATTTTTTTTTTCTTTCATAAATCTCATAAAAATCAATTTTGGTTTGCAACAAATAAAAAAAATAAAATATATTTTCAATTTTGTAAGATGCTACAAAAATGATCTGATTTCGGCTTAAATAAGAAAACTAACAACATGATCGAGACTGATTTATCTGAGGTTACAGTTCCAAATTAGTTATAATAAGCTTTTTTTTTTATATGATATTTTTGTACAATAATCATCAGTAACACAAGTTCAGTTCAAGTTTAGGAGATGAATTCTTCCTTGGACATCGAAATTAATGTACCGTATGAGAGATATTAAACTAGGTACAAATTTTATTCCAAATAAGTCTTAAAATGAAATTAAAATTTTGAAACAGTTAATATACCATATGAGAGATATAAATAGAAATTATTCTAAATCATTAAGAAAGATTATTAAAAAAAAAAAAAGGATCCGAATCTCCATTCGATTCGAGGGTTTCGGATCCGGATTCGGGCCAATCTAATTTTTTCTGACCTAAATAACTAAACCCGAAATCTGATCCTATAGATTTTGAGCTCAGACCAAAATGGGCCAGCACACTTAATTCATTCTTTGTAAATTGATTTTTTTTATTTTTTTATTTTTTATTTTTTATTAAAAAAAAATCAAGATCGGCTCATGAGCTATGAACTCAACTAACAGAGATGCGACTCAACTGATACCTAAAAATTGTACAGAAGGCCCAATAACTGTTGGGAATTTAAAATTAGATGTACAAAGTTATGTTGGGCCCTTAGCGGATCTAATACATAAATGGGCCTTAATTGCTAGCTCAATGGGCCTTTTGGTATGTCCTTGAGAGTTATTTTTAATAATAATAATAAATAAATAAATAAAAAATTGTGTGTGTTGTTTGATTGGCCGAGTTAACGTAGTTGCATCTGCACTTAATAAATTGAAAATCGAATGTCAGAATATAAACAGACAATTTTCAGAATCTATATTAGTTTATTCGAAGATTCTTATATCGAAACAAAACCCTAATTCTATACCTAAATATAAAAATAATTTTTTAACATGAATAGGAAATACCAAAATATGAATTGAGATATACTGAAATATGTCTATCTTATAAAAATAATTTAGAAAATATCATAAGGAATTATAATATGATATATATATATATATATTAACTTATACAAAATCGGATAAGCAAGAAGATGAAGTTATCTGATTATAAATATTGTCGTTTCTCTTTTGCTTTTAAAAATTTAAATTAGCAAAGCACAAACGTGCAAGTACGATCATCATCCACTATAATCTTTACACTCTTATTTAATAAATACATCATTATTTTATATATATAGTATCCTCTATGGCGAAAGTTAAAGAGACCAATCAGATTCTTAAAACAAATACAGTGAACTTTAATTGATTTCTTTATATAATTAATTATCTATTAGTTTCCTTTTGCTTATTTTACATTTTTTTTTAATTTATTTTTTTTCTTCCACTTATTAGTATATTAAGACTATTTGATAACCATTTTTAATGGTTTTAAATTGTACTCTCTCCGTTTTTTTATAAGTGATGTTTAAATCATATATATATATATATATATTTGTCGCAAAACAAGTAAAATTCCAATAATATATTTTAATTTTACTTCTCTCTTGTTATATAAGTTTCGTTATAGGGGGTTTGCACATTTATTAAAGAATCGAAATAAATTTTCTCAATTAATATACTTCTTGTTTTTTATAATCGTTATACATTTAGCTTGAAAGGAAAAAGTTTGCATGTCACAAAAAAAGGGGTGTTAAAATTGTAAAACAACATGTGAAGTAGTGTAAATTACACTTTTAGCCTTCAGAAATAGAGAAGCACAATTGAATAAAGTTACAAAATGTACATGAACATGTTAGTATCTTGGGATTTCATTTTATTATGAAATAGGAAATAAAAATTCTAAAACAAACATTATTTTAAGAAACAATATTACTCGTTACATTGACAAACGACGACGTAAGAGGCTAGATATTGCAACAAGATTAAGGATACACTATTTCATATAATAGATTTATATATATATAGATATATAATTAATATTATATTAAGATTTTAGGTTTTGTGTAGAACAATGATACGTGTTTTATGCATGAGGACCGAGTAGTGCGGTAACGGTTAAGCTTGCACTATATATGGTTTCCGTAGGGATTGACCAATTAATTATTAGGGTTTAGGGCTTTTGTTTTGGAAAGTGAGAGGATTAAGTCAAATACAAGCACAGATGATAAAATTAATTATATATATATATATACGTATGTGTATATGCTTTATCTTTGTTCTCCACCATTGTTCCTCTCAAAAAGTTTTGTATTTGGTAGAGTGTCCTTGTCCTTAAGCATATAATTGGACCCACTATACTTCAAAATATCGTTTTCATTATTATTATTATTCTTCATTTTAAATTTCTTGACCTAATTTATTTACCTCTTTTTTGGGCATAAACAAAGACAAAGCATTACCCCTAATGATCTAATCTCAAGCATTTCCTCTTCCACTTTTTTTTTTGGTTCTTCTAATTGAACCCTCAGTGATTTTACATCTATTTCATATATATTATATAAACTAAAATTTAGTATTAATTCCACATATTCAAAAAAAAAAAAGCTCAAGAAAAATATAGTGAAAAAAATTACAAAATCCTTCAAGTTTGATATTACACAAACCATTAATCGAAAATTAAATCATCCTTTGCCTGAACTACTTCATGCCCATTTATCCTCTTAACTTGATTTAGTTTGGAATGTGTTTATGTCTTCATAGCTAGAGTATGTTTTTGTGTTAAATTATATTTCACAATTATTTTGTGTGTGATTTTTTTTTTTTTTTTTTGCAATTTATGCGTAAGGGGCTTGATTAAGAATTTTCAAATAATTTCTTATAACAATATTAATGAGGATAATTTAGCAATTTGGGCCGAGAAAATGTTGCCTCCATTAAACAAATCACATCAAATACAGCCACTAACTTCTTTAGACTTGTGGTGGCAAACAACAGGAAAGTGGTCTCCTTTCAACTTTTTTCCCCTCCCTCTCCCCCAATTTCATGAATCGATGAATTAAAAAATAAAAGCATGAGAGATTACATTCTTCAAGCTGCAATAATTATATATATATGCACACACACATATGAGATTGCCGAATTTATAAATGCAGATATTGCAGCATATATAGAGATATAAACCGAGCACTTGGGTTTTTCTCTTTCTTCTCGTACATTCAAAACAAGTGAAAGAGCACATTATAGCTTAAAGAGCAAACCATCATCATCATCGTCATCGTCATCAAGAGCTCAAACGAAAAATGGGTTTGATGAAGAAACTGAGTTTCATCCTTCTTCTTGTTTCAGCTTCAGCTTTCTCTCTCTCTTTTGCAGGTTAGGTTTCCTCTCTCTCTCTCTCTCTATATATATATATATATATATATATATCTGTCTATATATCTATCTCTCCACACACGTACACACACATTTCCATGCAGCTTTTCTACATATGCACCTCATGTGCATGCGACTTGTTCATTGTTTGGAAAAGCAAAATATAAAAAAGTAATGTATAATATCATAAACGCCAAGAAATTGTGTAGATTGTCAGTGTCTATGTAGCAGCGGATCTAAAGAAACAATCCATAACAAAATTGAGACAATATTTTCTCTAAAAATTGTAAGATTTTATATAAAAAAAATTAAAAATACGATTTTGTAGAATCTGATTGGGGTATATACATATATATATATATATATATACGAGTATTTTTTTTATACGAGTCTTCAGATAGTAATAACATATTTACACATGCATACGTTCCATGAAAGAGTATTTGTCTTTCCTCTTGATCATATCTCAGTCTCGTATATTAAATCTGTAGACATAAGTTTTATATATTAAATTTATAGGACCGACCAACCATGCTAATATCCATATCACATATATACAACATATATATATACGTGATATGTGTTAGTTATGTATTGAATTTTTAATTCTTCTTTGTAGGCCGACCAACCATGTCGATCCATAAACCAATTGAGGAAACAGAATCGTTGACTTATCGTCATCAAGAGGTTAGTCAACAAGTCGATTTCAAATTTCATTTTCAAAATTTGCAATATATATATATATTTATTATAATTTGGCTCTTATTGGGTACGTACGTGTCACGTACATACATGCATATATACGTACGTACGTACGTACATGTGTGAGACAGGTTGATGATGAAACAAGCATACACGAGAGGCTGCTTAGAATGAACACAAGGGATTATGGAAGCTACAGTCCATCGCCAAGACTCGTCAGGCCTCCTTTCAAGCTTATTCCAAACTGATCTTTGAAATTCCATCTACATATATACATATATATATATATATATATATATATATCGGTGGATTATATTATACTATGTCCATCCTAAAAAGCTTCCGATATATGGTGAGATTATATATGTAGTATATATATATAGGTAAATAAAAGGAAGCGAATGTTGCTATGTATAAATTTTGTCATATATGCATATATGCGACTGCCCATGTTATTATGTGTTTATGTATGTTCATGGACATCTATGTATACGCATGTATGTGTAAATATGATATACATAGTAGTGAACCTGAATATATATACATATATATACACACACACGAAAGACATGCGTCCACTTTGTTAGGAACTAAAATTTCTGAAATTTGCTGGGCTTTTTAGATTACCTTTTAATAAGAAGAGTGTTGAATATTTGAGAGGTCCAAAGTTCTAGAGAGGAGAAATAAAATGGGCTTGTGAAGCCCAATTCTGAATTGCAAAATTTGTAATATAATTGAGAATTTTAAAAAACAAATTCAAGCCAGGTTGGTTAAATGGTAAAATTTGTGATATAAAAATAACATAAAATAAAAGGATTAAAAAAATCGTTAATATAACATAAATAGGCTCAACTTTAGACCTAAATAATAGACGCTCAATTTGTCAAACATTGAAAACTCTAAATAAAATTAAAATCCGAATAAATGTGTCCAAAATATTTATAGATTCAAAATGTGAATTAACGCGTCTAGCTGCATGGCCTCCCTATTTATTGCAACAATCGACCAAACCTAAAAGCATAGGAATATCATAAACTTGATTAACACGGAAACTCGAGCTCTTTGATTTTCCAAATTTTCATGTAATTATTCTTTTATTACTTTCATTACATCGTTTTTTGGAAAATAAAAACGTTGAATGGATAAATACAAATGACTCTCCATCTGTTTTTTTTCTTATTAAATTTACAGATCAATATTTTCTTCGCTCCGGGGCAAGGGAATTTATATTATATTAGGTTGAAAACATTTTTTTTTTAATTTAAGAAATACATTGTTTATTTTCCATCATGGAAAAATGAAAAAAAAAATCCAAGGTAAAATGTGAAATAGGACCGAAAGCAAATAAAAATAAAAAATAAATTAAAAAGGGGGAAACGGAGTGATGAGATGAGTGGGCGGCAGTGAAATTCCATTCTCCACCGAGGGTAAGAAAGCTCTTTCGATTTCGCGTGTTAATGGTCCGCTGAATTCGATGTGATTCGATTGAAGTAGCTATTTTGATCTTCGATTTCCCCTCAATTGCTGCTGAATTTTGTTTCTCCGTCTCTGCATTTCAGCCAATTTTTCCTCTCTTCCGGCGCTTTCCGCTTCCATGGAGCTTCTCCCGCTCGATCACCCTGTCTCCGAAGGTATCTCGCTTTCCCTCTGCGTGGTTTTGGTTGTGTGCGTTTGTTTGGAAGTGTTTAATCGTCTTCATTTTGGGTGTTTGGTAAATTTAGGTATTTTGCCTCAACTTATTTCTCTTGATTCTCTGCGTGTCGTTTTTTTGGCCCTCTTGTCTCTGTTCGCTTGCTATTTCGATCTGTTCATTTCAAGTTTTTCTGGGCTAATCACGAGGATGATTGCGTTTTCTCGCTACTTTTGAACTGCATTCAAAGCTTCGAAGTTGTTGTTCTTCATGTTGGTGTTTAATATTCGCAGGGAAAATGATTAATGGAGTTAGAATTCATTGGCTTCTGATTTATGCTTACTCTATTTTGTGTTTGGTTGAATGTGATTATGTTAGAATTACCAAATTGTTCAAATTGAAAGATTGTTCGTTAGATTTTGCACGCTATATTTTGTTTCTGGTTGGTGTTTTCTTAGTGAGTAATGTGGGTTTGGAACTTGTAATCTGATGATAGGGTTCCATAAGAATGGGTATAAAAGATTGAAGATACAAGTTGATGAAGGAGGGCAATGCAGTCCGGTTTCTGCTTCGGACAGCATGAGTCGTGGAACCGAACCGAAGAAAGTGAACACCTCATCGTTCAAGGTCACCGACTACTCCAACCCATCTGCCATTGGTAAAATGATCGAAGCTTTAGATAGCGGTAAATACGGGAGTGTTACTAAGGAATTAAAAGAAATAGCTGATAGGAGGATGGAGTTAGTGAAATCTTGTCTCTCGATGTACCCTTCACTCTCAAGTATGGTTTTTAGCTCGGGCAAGAGTCAGGCGAAAGAGCATGTGGAGACGGGAAATCAGCAAGTTGTGGAAGAAGTCATCAACTTGGATGATAAAGACAAAGTTGATGCTGCAAAGAACAGTGTGCTTTCGAAATCTGAGGTTGTGGTTATTGATTCCGATGATGAAGAGACTGAAACTCTGAGGCCTAAATATCCATTTCAGTCAAGCCTTGTGCTGTATCAGAAGATGGGAGGGGATGTACCGGCAATTGCGCCGCAATGCTCTTTTGAAGAGGTAGTATTGGGGAAGGGCAAAGAGGGGCATCCCATTAGGGGAATGTTGGTAAGTTCTTTTTCATCAAGATGCAATCTTGCATTTGAGTATTGGTTCAATGTTCTAAATTTGTTTTTTAAGTGTAGTTTCCAACTAGCCTTCCATCATATTGGCTTTCAGTTTTTGTACTTATCAGAAGTTTCTTTTTCTCAGGAAGGAAAAACTAAGAGAGATAGAGGCAGACCCCCTTCTGAAGAAAACGGTATTGTCAATGATAAAGGAGTCTATGTAGGTGTTCGAGATGATTACGATGATAATCATCTGAAGAAAACCGCATTGGTTAGACCCCCTTCTGAAGAAAACCGTATCGTCAATGATAAAGGAGTCTATGTGGGTGTTCGAGATGATTACGATGATAGTGAATCAGAGGTAGCAGATGACGGTCTTGGTGATATTTGGGGCGAAATGGCCATGGCAATAGAGTGTAACAAGGTATTCTAAACATTTATTTGAACAAAATTGAAGTTTCCGTTATTTCATTTCTTTTGCAACTAAATGACCCTGTGCTTGCTTCATGTTGTCCTTTAATGATAATAAACCAGTAGTAGGACTTCATTTTTGAGTTTCTAACCTTTGTTATCAGCTTATGAAGGTCAATTTCTTTCCCGTAGCAACTGTTTAGTCGTGCAGTTATTAAGTACTCAGTTCATGGTTTGTTTTTCTTAAACATTTGTTCTCGTGGTGTGGTCCACAAGGTCTCAGTTTGCATCTTTTGGATTATTGCATCTGAGATTGGTTAGTGAAAATCTCATCTATAATATCTTGCACCCGGTATCTTTTGATTATCGCATTTTTTCCACTTTCCTGATTGTGATACACACTAAATCTTTCAGGAGGTAACCACGGAGCCTTCAAAGGAGCAAAAACCAGAAGAAGTAGAGGACTGTGAGCACTCATTTATCTTAAAGGATGATATTGGATACGTTTGTCGGGTCTGCGGGGTTGTAGAGAGAAGCATTCTAGAAATAATCGATGTGCAGTTCAGTAAGGTAAAACTCTAGTTTGCTGCCACTATGCAACTTTGCTATTGTTTTGAAACTATGATTCTTGGTGGTAGACGGATATCGATACTAGATTACAATGAGGTCCAACCCTTTGTACGCTTATTTTTCAGGATTTGCTGTTACCTCCGCCATTTAAATAATTGAACTCGGCTTTCCTATTATCATAGAAACTATACTGTCCATGTGATCTTTATCTCGTCAAGCTTGGTGTGACAGATACCGGATGTTTTTTCACGTACACCACCAGCCCGTCTATGAAAAAAAGAAGAGACACTACTAAAGAAACAACTGAGCTTCAGCAATCTAAATATCTTTATAATTTTTCTTTGCAGGTGAAAAAAAGCACAAGAACGTATCCCTCTGATGCTCAGAATAGGAAGGATACCGATTTATCTGATGTTGGATTAAAGCTATCTGAAGATGGGCTGATGATAGGTGGGCTTTCTGCTCATCCGAGGCATGCTCACCAAATGAAACCTCATCAAATTGAAGGATTTAACTTCCTCTGCAGCAATTTAGTGGCAGAGAATCCCGGTGGCTGCATCATGGCTCATGCTCCAGGTTCTGGAAAGACCTTTATGATTATCAGTTTTATGCAGAGTTTCCTTGCAAAGTATCCTCATGCTCGGCCACTGATCGTGCTTCCAAAGGGAATTTTGTCTACTTGGAAAAGAGAGTTCCAGACATGGCAAGTCGAGGATATTCCTCTTCTTGATTTCTACAGTGGTAAAGCAGATAGCCGGGCACAGCAGTTAGTGATTTTGAAACAGTGGGTGGGGCAAAAGAGTATCTTGTTCCTCGGGTATAAGCAGTTTGCATCTATTGTCTGTGATGATGGAATGAACAAGGCTTCGACCGCTGTTTCCGATGATGGAAGGAACAAGTTATCGAGTGCGTGCCAGGACATCCTGCTCAAAGTACCTTCTATCCTCATTCTGGATGAAGGGCACACGCCGAGGAATGATAGCACGAATGTTCTGCAATCCCTTGCCAAAGTCCAAACCCCGAGAAAGGTCGTCCTCTCTGGAACGCTGTATCAGAACCATGTGAAAGAGGTGTTCACCATTTTGAACCTCGTCCGGCCCAAATTTCTCAAACTGGATACCTCTAAATCTGCGGTGAAGAGGATTCTGGCCCGAGCTCGGGTATCCAATGTCAGGAAACATTTGAACTCGGGTCTGGACGTGGTCTTCTACGAAAGTGTGGAGCATACGCTGCAACAGGATGAGGATTTCAAGATCAAAGTCAGTGTAATTCAAGATTTGCGGGAGATGACACGGAAAGTGCTTCATTACTATAAAGGAGATTTCTTGGAAGAGCTTCCTGGACTCGTTGATTTTACGGTGGTGCTGAATCTGACTCCTAAACAGATGAGTGAAGTCCACAAGTTGAAGAAATATGAGAGAAAATTCAAGGTTTCATCTGTCGGAAGTGCACTTTACCTTCATCCGAAGCTGAAATCTTTCTCCGAGAAGTCTGGTGTCTCGGATGCAACAATGGATGCAACAATTGATGCAACGATGGATGAGATGGTAGAAAAGTTAGATGTGAGAGGGGGAGCAAAGGCAAAGTTCTTCCTCAACATGATAAACTTGTGCGACTCGGCTGGTGAGAAGCTCTTGGTTTTCAGCCAATACCTCATACCATTGAAGTTTCTTGAGAGGTTAGCTGTCACAGCTAGGGGATGGAAAGTAGGCAAAGAAATTTTTTGCATCACGGGCGATAGTACTCCCGAGCAACGGGAATTTTCCATGGAACGGTTTAACAATTCCCCAGATGCAAAGATATTCTTCGGTTCAATCAAAGCTTGCGGAGAGGGGATTTCCCTAATCGGGGCATCCCGTATACTAATACTGGATGTTCACCTGAACCCTTCCGTGACCCGACAGGCGATTGGACGAGCTTTCCGACCCGGGCAAAAGAAAAAGGTGTACGTATATAGATTGGTTGCCGGAGGATCACCCGAGGAAGACGATCACAAGACCTGCTTCAAGAAAGAAGTCATCTCCAAGATGTGGTTCGAGTGGAACGAGTACTGTGGCCACCGTAAATTCGAGGTGGAGACAGTTGATGTGGATGAAAGTGGTGATACGTTCCTGGAAAGTCCTGTCCTGAGAGAAGACATAAGAGTTCTGTACAGAAGGTATCATCCTAAATTCACAATACCCAAATAACTTAATCCATTCTCTCGTCATATATACTCAAACTTTGCTTGTTTCAGGTAACACTCAAGAAAGATATAGCTTGTCTGAGTTCCAGACATGTCGAGGTAGTTTCAGAAGCTTCTGTCTATAATGCAACTTTAAGGTAGTTTCTCTCAGAACTTGTCTCGTTCTGGTTATCATCTAATGATCTGAAGCATAGCTTCTTGAACTGTATAGCTTAAGTATATCTACATGTTGTTTGGACGGATTCCATGGAAAGTTTTAATCTTGGCCATGATATATGAATATGATGATGCCCTTTGGTAGGGTTTTTTCCCACTTATCTCCTCCACATACACAGATTTCTTGCATTAGAGCCTTGGCCCTGGAAGCAAAAAAAGAATGTTTTGTTTCTCTTTACAGATATGACTGACTAATGATATATCAGACCTAGGCCTTATTCCTCTCCGTCTTCTTTCTCTTCAAGCTACAAAATGATGTTACAGCTGGGAATGGCTGAGCCGGTTTTGGCGGTGCCCCGGGTTTATGTTTATGTACTCGAACTCTGCCCCGTGGGTGGTGCTTCCGTAAATCTCGTCCCCTCTCATCCCGGAGAAACCACCTGCCACAGGCTGAGCATTCCGCCCGTCGGAATTCTGCAGTCCCAGAGTCAGAGACACACCACTTCCGCCTCCGCTGCCGAATCTCCCCATTTCCATCACGTTGTATGAAGAAGAAGCCGTGGCCACGAACCGTCCACCGCTGCCCATTTGATCGACGTGGATCATCGGGTCGTCGTGGAACACGTTAGCGCCGCCTGCATCGGATCCTTGCCCGTATCCCGTCTGGAAGGTATTGTCGGCTCTGGAACCGTGTAGCTTGTCCTGTGTGATACTATCCTGAGCTTGATCATCTGAATGCGGTCTTGTCTCGTCGGCTCCACCCGTTTTCGGTGTGTTTTCGGAGGACGAGTTGGATTCATTCTCCATCACCTCGGTGAACTCCTCCTTGTACATCTCCTCCACCATCGGCTTCCAGAGCCGCACGCGTGCGTTTATAAACCAGTTCGAGACCTTTGTAGAATCAAACGGGAGTCGAGATCAAGCACAGGAAAAGCACGATGAATGAGTCGTTGAGATACCGATGTGTTACCTGGCTTCGGCTCAACCCTGTTTGTCTCGCCAACATGATCTTGTCCGAATCTTTAGGATACCTATTCAAGTTCCAAACACAAATTAGCGAAGAAGCCCGAGCGAGAAGGCCCAAGAAAAAGACGAATTTCGGTGGGTAGACTTACGGGTGGAGGAAATGCTCGAAGAGCCAAGCTCGGAGGATCAGGACAGAGTTCTCAGGTAAACCGCGTTGAGGGCGCCAAGCGTGCGGCTGCTGCATCACGCCGAGCTGCTGCAACGTTCTTTGCTGCCGGAGCTGTTGGTCCACGTACCTTAACCGGCTTATCCCTACTCCTCTGCTATCACACCCGTCTTGGTCCCCGAGGCTTTTCCGAGCTGCGAATATCTGTCCAGATATCGCGTCACGGAGGCAACGGAAATGTCGGGATATCGTCTGTAACGCGAGGGCTGTGTATGGCTTTGCAGCTCCGCATCCGGCTATCACGTCGAACGAAGACACAACGATCTGCATTTGGTGGTAATACTGCTTGTACCTTCTATCCACCTAACAACGAAAAACACAGCATTAAACACATTGATCTACCGATTTAAGAAGTCGGGTTTCAGGGGTTTAAATTTCTCGGGTTTTAAGGTTTCTTGAGTCATTTACCTCGTCCAACATCGACAAGAGCTTCGTCAACTTGCTCTGCAGTTCTTGCCTCTCGGCTTGAGAGACGTCCCCGGGAGGATTTTGATTTGTATCTCCGCTTCCTTCCTTCGAACTCCCGACCTGTTTCTGACCCGAATGCTCATCATTCTTCTCTCCGTCGGGCTGAAACGGTTTCAGAGCTTTCCTCACATTGACTACCTCATCGAGAAGCTGCTGAGCCGCCTTCAGATACTTAGAATTCGGAATCGTTCTTGTGGAACCACCCGAATACTGATTCGGATTCCCACCCGAAAAAACCTGCTCTGCATACTCGTAGCTTCGGGTTTGCTCGGCGAGATTTGGATTTCCCCGGTAGGGTACACTCTGATTGTTCATCTGATGAAGAGCACTGGGAAGAATCTGAGAGCCGAGGCTTAGGGACAAACCCTGTCCTGTCCGAAGAATCCCGGTACCACCCGACATCGGATGAATTCCATCATGATCTTTCCAATAACCGAACTCCTGAATTTGTGAAGATCCGCCATAACCGGACAGCACTTGCCTCTCTTGCGAAGCTGAAACGGTATCCTCGGTTCCTTCTCCGACCGAACAGGTGGCTATGGCGACAGCGTCTGAGTAAGAAACTGCTGGGTTCACGTACATCATTGCACTTCCAGGAAGAAATTGAGATTCTGGAAATGAACTGGGCAAGTTCTCTCTGTCATTGCTTGAGCCACTTGTGTAATAAGTCGCCATAGATTTCTTTTTTTTTGTTCTTCTTCTTCTTCTTCTTGTTCTTGTATCAGATCATGTGAGCGAATCTCGAAGCTGCAGATCATGAAGCACTGGGAGTTTGTCATCACTAACCAGAACAAGGGTTGAACTGTTTCGGATTCAGACACGTTCGAATCCGACCAATTTTATTTCCCAGATGAAAAAACCTTGGTTATATATTTACAAGATAATTCGACAGAGGAACTCAAAATGGGATTTTTTTTTATAAACAAACAAAATTTACCAGACGAACAAAACCCAGAAGCTTTTTCTCTCTTTCATGAAACCCAGAAGATGATTTGTGAATATTCTAAAATTTATGTATTTTCGCGTTCAAATATGAATCTGATAAGCAAAATCAAAGAAATTAAAAGCTGAATTTTAAAAGAGAAATAAAGAAAGATTTAAAAAAATTATATACCTGGAAAGCCGCAGATAATGTTACTGTAGGTATCAAGGAGACCAAGCAAAATCTCTCATAAGAAAAAAAAAAGGATATATGAAAACGCTTACTGATCCCAAGAACACATAATCAAAAAAAAAAATCAGAGATCTTCAACTTTTTCTGGATTCTTTTTTTTTTCCCTTCTCTCTAATGATATGTACTCTCAATCCCTACGTGAGAGATTCATCATCTCTCTCTCTCTCTCTCTCTCTCCACAGAAAAAGCAAATGATAACTTTCTATCTCCTCTTACAGAAAAAAAAAACTTTTTTTTGTTCTCTTTGGCTTTTTTTTTCCCTCTCTCTTGAACTTGAGGATATCGCTTCAGAAACCCATAATCTGGCTGGTGCTTCGAATTGCTTCGTCTTCGTCTCGTTCTTGTTCTGGTTCCGTGAGTTTCCAGTTTTGTTGAAGACAACCAAAAAAAAAAAATTGCAAATGTATGGAGTTTGGTTTATTTTTTTTTCCTCTGAATTTTGTCGGAATATATAAATTGTGGTTAAGGAGCTTCAATCCCTAACAACCAGTTGGTAGACCTAAATCCCTCTCTTAAACCCACTCTTAACACCCTAATCTCTCTCTCTCTCTCTCTCTCTCTCTCTCTCTCTCTGTGTGTTTGAGATAGAACCAATATCCACCATACAATCAGATTCCAAGATGAATATTTTCCTTCTCTTTTTATGCTTTTCGTTTTGAAAATTTAAAACAGATTGCATTTTGTATTATACGGGTCTTGTGGGTTGTGGCCAATCCTTGATTTAATTTTATATATATATATATATATATATATATATGTATATATGACGATTTATTGAAAATAAAATAGATATGTAGATGTTAATTATTTTATATAAGGTTCGATAAAAGTTCATTAAATTACTCTACTCAATATTTCCTAAAAACATAGTCAACTTTTAATTTCTACCTCCCAATTCACAATACACTTTTTGTATTATTTAATTATACATGATGATCCAGTAATAGAATTTTATATACATATGTGTAGCAATATTTTATTTTATTTTCTGAATTCATAAATTATTTGTCACCTCCAAAATAACTATCTAATAACCAGTTATTTTTAGTTACAAGAATATATTTAAATAACTTTATCTTATGCTCAAAATCAATTTTATATCTTTTGTTATATCAACTTTCATGACTCCTATATACAATAGAATTTTTTATTTTTTAAAATTAGTTTAGTGTACGATTATATAATCTGGAACATAAATGTACCAAAACAGTTTAAATCTTTATTCATATACAAAATACGTATCACATAAATTAATTTAGTAAATTGTTGGACAAATTATAATGTTAAAGATGGTATCAAAACGAATGCAAAAGGTGACGTGTGCGCAGTGATGATGATATAGTCCTTTGTTTTGAAATAATTATTTTCACTTTTTTGGTAAGTTATTATCGTTTCTCTTTATTTTCTTATATACATATATATATATATATAGGGTTCATTCAAGAATATTTTCTTAGTCCAATGGCTACTGAATAAATAGTTGCGTACAACTATCAAAATAAATATATACATATATGTATGTGTATATATATTTTATAGCTTTTTCTCCTCCTTAAATATGAAAAAAGAAAACCATAAGTGGGCCTTTTTTCCACTGAATTTGTCTTTTTCTGCCAGCATTTTTCTGGCTATTTATGGATCGGTACATTTTCTCCCTGAGTTTCTAATTTCGGCATCTACTTTATCTAGGTGCCAAATAGGTCCTCCTTGTCTTAACTTGGAAGAGAGATTAGTTGATACTTAAGCTCGCAAATTCTAAAATCAAGTGACTAAAATAAATTAAAAAGAACAAAACTAAATGGTGAATTATTATTATTATTATTATTGTTAAATCCCAAATTAATTGTCATATGCATATGATTTATTGGTATATGCGAGTTTAATTGTTGTATCTATTTGAGGATGACCATTTATATGGATTTTTTCGATATGTTGGGAGATATAAATGGATCGAAAGTTTGATAAATTGTCAGATTATAAAAAAATAAATATTTTTGTTTTAAACTTAGATGTATCATGAGAGCGTTTATCATAGACATATTTAAATAATAAATATATAAAAGTTTGACAAAGCTAATTTTTAAAGTTTGACAGAGATAAGAATAAAATTTTATATTCTTAAACGAGTTTGAATAAATTATAATTAATATTATATAAAATTGTGATGTTTTGGTTAATCAGAAAGATTTTCATATTCAGTTTTGTGTTACATAAATGGCAATGGGATCTTGAACCCTAAGAAGGGCAAACTGAAAGCAACTTTCGAAGGTGGTGCGTTAATGCTATTGGCAATGGCAATTTGGACCCACCCTTCTAATAACCTCTTTTTCCTTCTTTTGTTCCATACATGTTATAAAAATCATAATATATATATATATATATATATATATATATATATATGAATATTTTCTCTAAAAAAGATTAGGTAACCATGCTTTGTTAAAGAATAATTGTATGAATATAAATAACAACATGTGTATGTTTGTTTGGAAGAATCTTACAAAAAAACAACAAATTGTATTAAATTTTTACATAAATGCATGTCATATCATTTTTACTATTTTTACCATACATTAACATCTGTTGAATTTTAACCAGTGTCAGACTTTTTTCTCAATTCTGAGAAAATAGAAGCAAATATATAAATGATCACCAACTTTTAAAATAAAAATTCCATATAATGTAGTAATTAAAATAGTTTCAGATACTATCCTATATAAATATATATTTTATTTAAATAATAACCTTCATCCATAACCGAATAGTTTTCTTAAAAAACAAATTAGGTGATAGAGTTTATATTCGAATAATTTCCTATAAATTAAGTGAACAACCATTGGGTAACGCGTATTTAATGCTTTTGTGTATAATGAGTAACTCGAAATACAGACCGACATATGAACTCGTTTGGCAAACACGATCTGAGCAACAGAAGGGAAAAGGGGGCCCAACATGAAGAAACAAGAAACTTGGGTTAGATTTTGAAAAATCAAAAGTAACGGGGACGAAATGAAAATAACGTAAAAGTTGTCTGAATGAGGCAGAGCTTGGGGAGAGAGAGGGGGGGGGTCAGAGATAGGGAAGTGTGTGTTTGTATAAGAACATGAACATCTGCAAAGAACATGCAAAGACGAGAGAGAGAGAGAGAGAGAGAGAGAGAGAGAGAGAGAGAGAGAGAGAGAGAGAGAGAGAGAGAGAGAATCTAAGGAGAGATGAAGCGAGAGATCTGATTGGCCAATACATATGTGATATGTCCAAATCTTTTTCTCCCATGCATTTCATTTTTTATTTACCTTGTTATAACATCTTTTTATTTACTTTCATTTTTTTTATATAGATATGTACGTTTCAAGTTACGGACGAGTTTTTCTGAACTTTTTTTTTTATTCTAAATTTTCGACGTTTAAAATTTTATTTGATTAAATTTGATTTATGTCGAGACTCGAGAATAGATTATAATTCGATTTTAACTAAAAAAAATATTTTTAATTTATTTTATTCCTTTTTTAAATTATTTTTTAAAATATTTATTTGATTTTATATCTATTTGAATATAATTAAATATTATTTAAATCAGATTAATTAAATGTTTATATATTCTACTGCCAAATCATAAACTTAATTTTTGTACCACACTGAAACTTTTTTTAAAATGGTTGATAATCAAGAGACAACCATGAAACTGAAAGTTTTAACTTTTAACTCATCATTCTAAAACAATAATTATTTTTACCAAAAACTAAATTATACTAATTAGAGTTAAAAAAAAAAAATCCTACAACTTTAGTTGGTGCATACAAACCATTTTGTAGTTGTAACGAAATTTAATTTTTTTAATTTCACACTTTTAACTCAATTAAAAAAGGTTCGTTACAATCAACCAAATCGATATAACTAAACTGTTTCTAAAAACTTACTTATTAATAGACCTCTTATTAAATTTGAATCCAAAATTAAATTTGGGCTAATCTTGGCATATGATGAATCCTTTCCGTCGAAACAATTCATTTGATGTATATATCAAGTTTAAAAAAAAAACAAATTAATTTTTCTATGTATATATAAACCATCATGGAAAATTTAAAATACTCCATTTGAGATCTTATGCCAATGTTCAATTTAGGTTATTCGAGACATTAAAATCCTTTATATTTTTTAGGATTTTCATCTAGTCATACAATTATATATTAATCAGTAACAATATTGCATATATTCCTATTATCATAATATTCATAAAACATTATTTTGATAATTTCCCAACAATTTATGAGTGAGAGAAAAAAGTTTTTTTTTTAACCACAAGATAGAAGGAAAAAATTAAAAATCATCGTATCCCAATTTATTAATTAAATAATTACCAATTATTTTATTGATGACGGTATACTTATTGTTTGAACGTTGATTATCTTAATTAGCCACCACTATTAAACCGCATTATATGTCTTTTCATATTCAACTAATTCCCAAAACGATTAAAAATAAAATAGAAGAGGCACACGTGGCAGATAATTACCTATTTAATTGCAGTTTAGTCAGCTAAAAGCTGGTTGCCGGAGGAGACTAATTCAATCTCTTATAATTACTCAATCGTCACTGATGATTTAATATATTTAAATGCAATTTAAATTATATGATCAAACCGTCTTTATATTATTTAATATATAACAAGCATTACGCATACGTTTCTGGTTATTGACTTGTCGGCTTTTAGAAGGATATGAAATATTATTATTTTTTAAATGCATTTAAACTGATTGACAAATTATTTATTAAAAATTGACACCATTGCCAAATTTGAATATTGTTTTCAAAAATAGCTTGGATAATAGATATTCCTATACTATTGTATCGTTAACTATTGGTCCTATTATAGATATTTTGGTTTGGATATGGAGAATTAGATAACGTATAACCACATAGGATATAATCTAAAAACTAATTATATATAATTTTTTGAATACTGAATTAATCCAATTCAAAAATAAATATAACAAATAACTGAAAATTCGATAAATATAAAAATGAGACCGAACCCCAATTTTAAGAACCGAAACAAAATACGATATAAAAATTAAAATGTTTGTATTTAAGAAAAATTAAAAAATTGAATCTCATACTCAAAACAAAATGATCCATTAAAATAAAAATGCAATTCGAAATTCGAACGAGCATATACGACGAGCAAAGGCTGAAACCTCACTTTTTACATATATATATATATATATATGATTGATTCATTTGAAAGGTTCAAAGAGGAGAGAGAAAATCTTTGGTGGAAAAGTGGAAAAATCGGAGCAGCTTTTTTTCTTTATGCAATAAAGTGAGTCCATTTATTTAAATTACCTCTCACAGGATATATATATATATATATATATATATATATATATGTATATATAGATATCATTTGTATCACTTCATGACCAAGCAGCTCCACATGCATTTCATTTGTAGAACTGTCGTTACATGTTTTTTTTTATAACATATGGATCATTGGGAGCTTTGAGATTGCCAAATGGGTGTCCAAAGCCCTACCGTATTATCGACCGTCAATTTTGTATAAAGGGAATATTGTAAATACTTGTATTTAAAGTTTCTAAACGATTTAGATTCATAGTTTAATACCGTGCAGATTACTATTTCATGACGTGTTAGGATAAACAGGAAAAATATATATATTTTTTATAATCCGAAAATTGATCGAATTTTGAAAAACAATTTTGGCCCCTGCAATTGAACTACCCAATGGAAAAAAAATATTTGGTGGAGGGCGATGAAAATGGAGAAATTAGTAACCTCCATAGTTCATATCATATAGTTAGAGAGAAAACATGCCCATAGCCATAGGAATATGAATTCATTAGGGGAGAATATAAAAGAGGGAATTTTGTGCATTGCCGCCCCTACTAAATACGGAATTTTGCCCGTCAATCAATCATTCTGTGTAGTCATGCTCAAATCCGACCCACATTGTCCTGTTGTCCATTGGACATATACATACATACATATATATATATGTGCGTGTGAATAAGCCCTTGGACAAATGATGGTTGCTACTAAATCAGTAAATCTAATTACATGATAAGAAAAAAGGCTTTCAGATTGTGAAGTTAGTCAACCATTCATACCCTCTTCACTCTGTCACCTTCAAGAACAAGGAATCCCTCTGTGGCAAGCGTTGCCACCGCTTTCCTCAGCTGATTGCAAAGCAAAGAGCGTTTGGTTACTCTCTCTGTCTCTTTTCCCTGTGAGAAAGCAAAGCTATATACATGTGTATATATATAAAGACTTACATCGTGAAGATGAATTTCGGTGTTTGTATTGGTTCCTTCTTGCTTCTTCAGCTCCTCCAGTACCTGCAGACACAAACAACTCTACAATGTTTCAAACCCTCTTCCCGAAAACCTGGTTTTCGGTCTCAGCGAGAATATATATGCTACCTCCATTAATCGCATCGAGGATCCTCCGATTTGCATTTTCTCGAGGAGGAAGTCACGGGTTGAGGATACGAGGATTTCCCTTCTCATTCGTTCGCTTGCCGAGACTCCAGTGGTGATCAGATCCATGTCGATGGTTCCTTTTTCCACAAAGGTATTGTTATATTAGGAAGAGCATCGGATGCTGTTGTTTGTAGGAAATGAAGATATCAACCCAAATATACCGATATAAGTGAAAGTTGTTGAAGATCGTATGTTTACCAGTCGCATGGTCGGTAGCTGATTGCTGCATTGCCACTTTGAGAAGCCGAAATGCCTCTTCCACGTCAGGTTTTTCAACCTATATCCATCATCACCCAATTGCTTAAATTAGTTTGAAAACATGAAACCAAAGTAAATTGTGTCAAAGATGGGGAAATATATAAGAGGCTTTTCTGACCCATTCAGAGAAACGCATACGAGCCAGGGCCTCACTAAGACGAATCACACTTTCAATTTGTCTAGGTGTAGCCGTTATTACCTGCAGAAATGGATTCAAGGCAAGAATCAGATCACATAATTGAAAGGGTCTGATAAACGAGAAGGGCAAATAAAACAACAGATACCTTTTTGCTACTACCGGCAAACTTCCCGGCCTTTCTGAGCTCAACATATCCCCGGGTGAGCTCTTCTGCAGCTTCATCTGATAGCTTAGGATGAATATTCTTGCGGGCGTAGCCTACATAAGATGTCAATGTAGCAATGTCCAAAGACTCCTCTTGTACACTCTTCAAGATGGAGATTACATATTAGAACAAGATAATTGGAAAAAATATAATCTTACAACACAATCTTGAAGCTGTGGGGAAACATAACATACCTCTGCGTTCTCGAAGTGTAGGGCCACGATATGTTTTGCAAGCTTCCTATCAGTTTGCTCATCAGGCTTGTCAAGAATCAAGTAGATCAAATCAAACCTGAGAGGGCATTTGTAATATACTTAGTTTAAAAAAAACATTCTTCCTGTTGGATCCAAAAGAGAAAAAACCTTGGCCTTTATGGAAGAGATAATATGTTCAATGTCAACACAAAAGAAAATTTCAGTTTTCACCTGGAAAGCAAGGTTGGAGGAAGGTGTATATTCTCGATAACAGATAGACGAGGATTGTAGCGTGAGCCACTGGGGTTTGCACAAGCCAACACCGAAGTCCTCGCGTTTAAAGATGCAATAATACCCGCCTTTGCTATCGATACGGTCTGCTGTTCCATCACCTAACAGAAGAGTAAGAAAAAAACCTTATGGTCAAACAGCTATGAATAAACGGGTAAAGGTGCAATTATAGCTCAGACACTATTTGAACAATGGAGCAAGAGAGAGGAGAAAACCTCATGCAGCATGCTCCTTGCATTGTCAGACATTTTGTCAAATTCATCTATGCAGCAAATACCTCGGTCACTTAGAACAAGAGCTCCACTCTCCAAAACCTACACAATGACATTCACACAAACATTTAGTCAATTCGTGAAAGATCCCAAAAAGACAATGGAAGACCACCTTAGGGGAAAAAGGGGTGAGATAAAAAGCATCATACAGTTTCTCCTGTCTCGGGATCTTTGGCCACGTAAGCTGTCAAACCGACAGCAGAGCTGCCTCGCCCACTGGTGTAAATGCCACGGGGTGAAAGCTTGTGTATGTACTGAAGCAGCTGGGACTTACTTGTACCAGGGTCACCCACAAGTAGAATGTTGATGTCACCACGGAAACTGGCTCCAGACAGCAGTTTCAGAGCACTTCCTCCAAAGAGCTTTCATTTATGATAGATACAAAATCGTCTCAGCCATGAAACTAATGCTGTCAAGATTTAGACGAATCAATAAGCAAGTATCGAAACTGTATAATACCTGACAGAGGAGACCCTTCTTTACATCATCCAACTCCCAGATGTTTGGTGCCAATGATCTAGTAAGCCTCTCATATATATCCGGCAATTTACTCAGTTCCTCCAAGTATTTCACCTGGAAATCACAACACGAGATTACATTGAAGTGGACGGACAAAGAGACAAGCAGATCATTGTTGGTGTAGGAAGTGAATCATGAAGAACCTTCTTCTCATCAAACACTTCGTCTTCCTCAACTCTACGGGGTCCACTATCAAGCTCCATAGGATCCTCTGCTACCATTCTCGACTTGTCAGTTTTCTTAATGTGAAGACAATCGATGTAAGTCTGCATTCAAACAGTTCAAAACAAATAGAAAATATACATCAAATTGAAATTGCATGATAGGAAAACGCCAATGGAAGGAAAGGCAGGAATCATGCCTTAAACACAGATTTCACAGTCCTCTGAGTCGGTCCAACTCTGACAGTCATTGCTCTGTAAATTCCAGTGACCTATATAAAAAAACCAAGCTTTATAGTCGAACAAAACCCGTAAATCCCTTCGATAATCACTGCTACGCTTTAAGTTTTACCTCAATTCTGTCGCCCGGCTTTCCAGTATCGACCAGCTTATCGTGCAGCAACAAGCTAACCGTGTGAGGTGTTCCCCCTTCAGGAATCTCGTCGGGCGTTTCCTGAAGCCTCACGATCTGCTTATCTGCAAACCTGAATTTCCAGATGAAAGTAAGTAATTTTATACGGACTAGCAGAATAAATCCAGAGTCTGGTTACAAATTACCTGCATCGGTTGTGAACTAGTGTCATGGAGTTCTTGGCAAGGCACTCTTGTTTCAAGCAAGTGGAAGGCTCATTTATTTTACCTAAGATCGAACAAACATCAAGAAAAAGACTAAAAGAGGTACATAAAGAGACAGGACAAAATCTAATGAATGAATCGAACTACCTCTATCCACGATGATGGGATCAGAGAAGTATCCACAAACAAGGCATCTAAACACAGCTTCCCTGATTTCCGGAATTATCGAGCTACATCGTATAATCATTCCTTTCAACGAGATCATCTTTTCGATATCTGGAAAAGGAAAATGCAAATCCAAACATAAACCCAGACAAAAAATTGATGAAAACAATTCAAGTACACAAACCCAAAGACAGGAAGTGGATGCAAACTCACCAGATGGGTTGAGATTCCTCATGGAAGTGGATGTCTTGAGGCTAAAAATCCTCACTTGAACATGTTTGTCGAAGAAATTGTTCATCGTGGAAACAATATCCATAAGCACGATGTCGAAAATCGCGAGAACTTCCAAAGGGTACCGAACCATCTTGTAATACAGATCAGGATCATAGTCGAACACATCATGTGCATCGACATCGATCCATTCCCCTTCAATCTCAACCACCTTCCGAATTGCCGCCATATACTTCCCTTCTGCGAACACATCATCGTTGCTCTCTCGAGCTTCTCTGAAATGCTTGACGAACATCTCAATCGCCGACTTGACATCTTGCACGCTGATGTTGGTGCCCCAGACGAAAGTCGGCGCGGCGTCGTCGCCTTCGTCTTCATCGCCGGCCTCCGACGAAGGCGGAGCGTCGTCGGTGTACGAAGGTGTCGGTGGGTGGTGTCGGTTTCCTCCGTTGGATCTGGCAGCGGAGGGACGAGATGACGGAGGAGTGGAGTCGGAAGCGGCGAGGCGCGACGGCCGAGGAGGAGTGGCAAAGGGCGTCGGAGTGGAAGATCTTCCCCGCCGGCGGCCAATGCTCCGGCGAGAGGCGGGGGAGGAGAAGGTGTTGTCGATTGGGCTGGAAGCGACATCGTCAGGCGATGAATGATCTGCGAAAGCGAGTTTCAACAAAAGATCACGAAACACACCGAGACAGAGAGAGAGGGAGATAGTGTACCATCATTGAAGTTGCCAGGAGAAGAATCGGACGCCATGGCTGACGGGAGAAATTGAGAGACGCAGCGAGAGAGAGAGAGAGAGGCGGGAAAGAGGGGTCCTGGACTACCTTTTTGTTCGAGCGATGATTTTGGCGGGAATAACTCTGATTTTGGCGCCAGGACCTTATTGGGCTTTTCGTGGGCTTTGGCTTCAGGTTACTTTCCGAAATAGCTAATTACCCATTGGGTTACATTTTGTAGGCCCATTGGGTTACTAATGGGTCCATTAACTTTCCAAGCAATCATCCATAAAACTAAATGCAATTAAACAAGATCAACAAGGACTATAAAATTAGTAAATTTTTTTGGTAAAAAAACAAGTAGTAAATTTCGATCAAGACTGCAACCAAACAGAATAAACTCTTCGAGGAAAAACAAATGGACATTTCGGTTCGGTTATGTATCTTCGAACCAATCTAAACTGTATAATATATAATTATATCCAAATCATCAGAAAGCCGAATAGATATATCTAAAATGTATAATATAAAATAAACATTTTATCGAGAAAATCTTATTTAAAAATAGATGAAATGCAATCTTTTTTAAAAAAAATTATGAGCCAAAATCCGCACCAATACGAACAGATGTAACCACTACCAAACCAGACCAATGCGTATTCATGAGACACGCGGCAACAGTTTCTCTGTCATAATGAAAGCAACCTCGTCCTTTTCCATAAATATTTACACAATCTGCTATAAAGAAATTTCCACACAAAAAACAAAAAAACAATTCTGTACCCATAAGGCTGATGAGTCACTTGTTTTTAGCTCCTTCGAGAAATGGTGTTTATGATGCATGCATGGGAAACGATGGCCAGACGTGGACGTGACCACTGACCAGTACCGTATTTAAATGCTCTGCCGATTATTTAAATTTTAAAGTCCATATCATTTAAACTTGATGTGTATATCGCTTTCTAGAATATATATATATATCTATACGGACTTCGTGTGATAATTCAGTGACCAAAAAAAGGAACGCATGACAAGCACGATTATTGCAAAAAAAAAAAAAAGTCAATGGAACCAATGGTTTTGGTTTATTTAGTTTTAATTTTAGAACTAAATAGTTTAATAAATCTATGAACAACCCAAAAAAAAATTGTAAATTTATAAATCGATAGTAAAAGAAAATATATTAACTTGTATACTACAGCCCCGAAAAATTTGTTAATGGAAGCGGTAATTATTATATATATAATATAAAATAAAAATAAAAAACATATCATAAAAAATGTTTACATTCTATATTGAACTCTACAATTTTATTTTTTTAAATATATCTCTAACAATTTTATTTATAACTATTTAAAATATATCATTCGATAAAACAAACTAGACAATGGCTCAAAATTTGATCATCACTTAAAATATCTCTAGTATTTTTTTACTATCAATAGGATTCGAAGTTAAATCATCTAAACCAATTTACTAAGTTATTGAGAGATTAACTTGAGATTTTGATATATTATTGATTGTTGATTGAAATTTTATCATTATCTTGAAATATTGATGTAAAATTTCTTTTGAGAAACTTGTCAATTGATTTTTCTATCAAATTAAATATAAGAATATATATATGACAATAAATTTGTGAATATGATCAAAATATATAAATTGATGAACAAATAAAAATAAAAATTATTTAAAAAAATTATAACGTGTATATAGTTTTAATTTGACTGGTCTTTGTTTTTGGTATTATAATTGAATATTAAATTTATGGATTTTTTTAGGAAATTGAGTCAAGAGGAGATGGAAAATAAGGAGTAAAAAAAGACGTGACATGACTTAATTTTTAGAGAAAATATAAATTTAAAAAAAAAAGGAAACAAAGTGAGAAGAGGGGTCTACAAAAAACTTAGGGGGCTTATACATTTTTTGTTAAAATTTTATAAAAATTATAAATAAATTAAAAAAAATTTACTTAAATGGATAGGGTACGGGATCCCACTGAAATCTATATGTGGGTTCGAAAAGAATATAAACTTTATATTTTATTTTAATAGAACCTTAACATGTATATTAATAAAATATTTGAATAGTGGATGGATTTATTTTGACAATCCAGGATAAATATTTACTATTCGATGAATAAATCATATCTTTTTTATCAAGTGTAATTTTAAAAATCTTTTGAGTTATAAAATATAGAATCAGTACAAAATGTCATATACAAAAAAACCGGCCTTAATATTGAAATGCAATAAAGAGACGGATTCTATCTTTTTTGGACAACGACAACACTACTAGCGAGAAACTAAAAAACAAAAACAATAGGACTTAGAAGAGATAAAAGATTGAAGTCAAATGCCACAGGGAAAACATGTTTGTTATTTATTTATTTATTTATTTTCATTTAATTTAAAGGTGCAAACCTTTGACGAACGCGAATGGCAAACAGAAATATAATGTATGTATGTATGTATGTATGTATGTATGTATGTATGTATGTATGTATGTATGTATGTATGTATGTATGTATGTATGTATGTATGTATGTGTGTGTGTGTGTATGTGTGCATGTGCCATGTGTGTATCATACTTTTAAGTGACAATATTTATCTGAATATATTCATAATAAATAGCTATACAAAATAATACTTATTTTATGATATAGAAATTAGCTATATATATATATGTCTGTGATTTATCTTATTTTTCAAAATAGTCAAAGTTATTGATTTGATGTTTCATTCGTACATGAGCGATGAAGACAGACCAATCACATGGACAAGTTTAAAGGCAAGACTGTTTAAGTGTCTAATCTCTATCATTAATTTCCAACTATAATATTAAATACATATTCAACATTTTTAGATGCATAGACCATTATATATATATATATATATATTAAGACTGAGGATTTTATGTTTGTAAAAAATTCAAGGTGATTATATTCTTAATTTATTGAAAAGCTTAGTATAGAAATTGGTATATGTTATAAATGTGCATGAATACTAACACACATGATATTTGATATATGTTTATGTGATTTCACGAAAATATAAGACACAATCTCAAATTTTACATGTTATTAATAGGTATAAAATGTGTACACCAAATAATGTTTTTGTGTTTTAAATGATTTTATGTTTATATTAAAAAAACTAATATCGTAATTACATTGGATAGCAGAATATGATTATTTTATTTTTTTGGATTTTAATATTTGCTAATTAATCTAAATAATTGAAATTATCAATTCAGATATATTAAAATTTAGATTTTTAAAATCTATTATATACACCCACTTTTGTAATGCTATATATTATAGATAAAAATTATATTTTTTTAAAAAAATTAATATATTCTAAAAATATTCAAATATTAAAATTTTCATTTATTTTAAAATAAATAACAAAACTTTTGGGCGAGGTGAAATTTTTTATCCCGACGGTTTTGTGTTATATAACTATGCCATCTTTTTAAAATACTAAAATAATTATTTTTGTTATATTTAAAATTTTAATTGTTGAATCTTTAAAAATAATTTATTATTATTATTATTAGTATGAGTTTTTCTTTTTTATTTTTGGATATTTTTAACAATGATTGTGATAAAATATTTATTTAGTATATAAATAATCTAAATTATAAAGTTGAAGTTCGTTATATTTTCCAATTGTTCAATCATCGAGCAAAATATTCAAATATGTGTATTTTCTTTTCATGAACAATGTTCAAATGAAAAAGAAACTTGTAACATTTAATATTGAAGAAAAAAGACATCTCCTAACTTTAACTCCTAACTTTGACCAATCAAAATTTTATATAAATAGAAATACATTGTTATTGTTATTATTATTAATTTGAATATTTTGTCATATGTGTGATCACCTTTAAGTTAACAAATGTTTTTTAGAGTTTTACAAAATATATTTTATATTTTGAATTTTTAGTTTTTTATACATTAAATTTGATTCAAGTCTTGTTACAAATAATTTCACTTTATTTTTATTAAATATTTTTTTAAAATTTTAAAATTTTATAAATTTAAAACCAAATTATAAAATATTATGAAAAGAATTTGTATAAATCAATAGTAGTAGTTGACTATTTGTGATGAATATAACAATTCAATATCCTACTAATTTATTCATTAAATGTGATAATATACTATTTTAATCACGTTTTTTTATGTTGCTCCTTTTCAAAAGAAAATTTACTCTTACATTTTTTAATTATATATTTCAAATCTGATTTAAATAAATAAATAATCAATTAATTTGATTATTCAATTTATTATAAAATAAGATCTAAAAGATGAAGAAAAATAAATTATAATGAAATTAAATGTATTAAATTATTTTATGTAACTATGATAGTTTTTATTTTTTATGAATAATTTATAATATTAGATTTTTGTATATAATTATAATAGTTGAAGTTTTTAAAAACGAAATAGTCTATAGGTTTTTATAATGAAATTTAAGGAGATAGTTTTCGATAGTATTTATAAGAGTTTTTTTTTTCACTAGTATTTATAACGGTTTATACCTTTTTTTTAATTACCAACCCAGAATAAAGTATTTTTGACGTGGGTGCATTGCAGGTGTGACAATTTAATGTTTTTTATTAAGATATCCCAATATTCCCAGTGTTACAAGAAAGACCCTAATTTTATATGTTCATCTTCAATTATGTCGTGAATTCCATGCCCACCTAAAACATTATTTTATTTAATGATTCGGATCAATGACTAAAACAAAATATATCAATTAGGGAAGAAAAAATTGCTATCGATCCATGTGGAGGCGAGAGAATCCTGCATTGCCCCACATTTTCCATAATCGCCCTTCAATGGTGGTTGAATCCTCATCAGAAAGTTGAAGTTTTGGGTCTAAAGCTCCTGCATTTCCACCCCAGAAGCATAAGAAGCTTTTCCCGTCCGGTTTCTGAATCTCGATCGGAAAAAATGGGGAGCTTGGGGGCGATTCTGAGACACCCAGATGATTTTTACCCGCTTCTGAAGCTGAAAATGGCGGCGAAGAAGGCGGAGAAGCAGATCCCGCCAGAGCCCCATTGGGGATTCTGCTACTCCATGCTCCACAAGGTCTCTAGAAGCTTTGCCCTAGTTATCCAGCAGCTGGGCCCCCACCTCCGTAACGCCGTACGTATCCGTACATGTATCCATGTGTTTATATACATATATGTGTGCATCTATGTTCATGTCTGTGTGATTGACGTGTGTTCGATTGTGAAGCTTGTTGTGTCTGAAATTGAATTGGCGATAGTTGGGTTCTTAGTTATTGCAGAGGTTATGCAGCTTTGGTGTGAAAATTGGTTGACTGAGAATTGATTTCGGGATGTATATGAGATCTGGAAAACTTTTTGTTGATTAGTTGTGTATATTCATTTGAAACTGATTCTCGGTTTCAGTTTCAGCTTTCTGACCTATCTTGTAATATCTCATGATTCCCAACTGTAGTTTACAGATAGTTATATTGCATCTTCAACACCTGTTTTTCTTGCAGCAGTTTTCTTACCTGTAACCTTGATCATGTTTCATTTCTGTTCTCTTTGTAGGTATGTGTTTTCTACCTTGTTCTTCGTGGCCTTGATACCGTCGGTTAGTACCCTTTAACTATGATGCTATGCTTCTAACATAATCAATCATCTCACCTTGTTTTCGGCATTTGCCATTTTCCCAAATCCGCAGAAGTGGAAGCCTGTTCTCTCCCCCTTGTGTTACATAAAGTGTTCCTTGTTCATGGCTAGACATATTTTTGTAAGAGACTTATGGATGTGATTCTCTAGGGCTAACTGACATGCCATCATCTGGTTTTTGTTCTACAGAGGATGATATGAGCATACCGACCGATGTCAAGGTTCCCATACTGATAGCTTTCCACCGTCACATATACGATCGCGACTGGCACTTTTCATGCAAGTCTCCTGGTTTCTTTTGTAGTTCATATGCTGTCGTTATCTGAATTTTCGGTTTGATAGATTCACCCGTTTATTCCCCGTTTAGGCGGCACGAAGGATTACAAGGTCCTGATGGACCAATTCCACCATGTTTCAGCAGCATTTTTGGAACTGGAAAAAGGGTTAGCTCTTATATCTGTTACATGCACATCCCATTCAGTTCTTTGTTGATTGTTTTTGCAACCTTTGTGTGTATTGACTTTTGTCCGAGATTTTGTTCAGTTTTCTGCTTGGACTAATGTTTTATTCTTTCGCTCAACTTAAATTCCGTCACATGTAAAGGTATCAAGATGCTATCGAGGATATTACTCTAAGAATGGGTGCAGGAATGGCCAAGTTCATTTGCAAGGAGGTTTGTGATGATCTCCATATTCCTTAGATTAGTAATTCTAGTACTGATTACGGTCTGTCCAAAACATTTCATGCTTGTTCTCGGCCTTCTGTTCGTGTATTGCCAATGTATTTAAATTAGCGAGTAAGTTATTTTTAAGAATAACCGTTCATGCTCCACAGGTAGAAACAATTGAAGATTATGATGAGTACTGCCACTATGTTGCTGGACTGGTGGGTTTAGGTTTGTCGAAGCTTTTCCTCGCCTCGGGTTTGGAAGTTCTAACTCCAGATTGGGAGCAAATTTCCAATTCAATGGGTTTATTTCTACAGGTACAATAATAAAAATTATGAAGCTGATAATTTCTTATTGAATTACTAACATTATAGGTCCAACTTTGCAGAAAACAAATATTATTAGGGATTATCTCGAGGACATTAATGAGATACCGAAGTCACGCATGTTTTGGCCTCGCCAGATATGGAGCAAATATGTTGACAAGCTTGAGGTGCATGTATATCACTTTCGATCTTCTCATCTCAGAGATCTAATGCTAAACCCGATGACCCTTTTTTTCCTGATAGGGCTATTTTTTCCCCTTAATCTTCGATTAAAAAAATCGCAATGTAGGACTTGAAATATGAGGAGAACTCAACCAAGGCGGTGCAGTGTTTGAATGATATGGTCACTAATGCATTGACACACATTGAGGATTGCGTAAAGTACATGGCTTCGTTACGAGATCCTGCCATCTTTCGCTTCTGTGCCATCCCTCAGGTTAGAAAGATAAGTCATCACGTGTTTTTATTTTCCTCCCGGTCCAGAGTGATTCATTTGTACAGTTTTGCTGGTAATACAATTACAAATCTGATTTAAGAAATTCCTTTTGGACGCATAAATTCACGCTCTTTCTTCTTGATCGTAACATCATATTTTCTTGAATTTGTGTTTCCTTGATCAGATCATGGCGATTGGGACGATTGCATTATGCTATAACAATATAGAAGTGTTTAGAGGGGTAGTGAAGATGAGGCGTGGTAAGATGCTTTTCTTCGAGTTCGGTTTCTTTCAGTAGAAGAATGTCAAATCAGAGGAGAAATCCGGTTAATGTTTTCATGGCAAGGAAAAATCTCAACTATAGCTTATACTATGTGCTTATTCTCTGAACAAAACATCTCATTTTTTGTTTATACATATACATATAGGTCTTACGGCTAAAGTCATGGACCGGACTAACACAATGACTGATGTCTATGGTGCATTCTACAGCTTTTCCCGATTGCTGAAAACAAAGGTAAGCCCACCTGGAGAAAGACGTAATTTCTCTGTTTCTAGCGATGGAAAAACGTAAACTATAGCTTATAATATGTGCGATATCGTGGTTTTTTTTTCATTTATTTAGGTTGACAAGAACGATCCAAATGCCACGAAGACTCTGAACCAGCTTGAAGCTGTCCAGAAAGTCTGTAGAGAATCTGGAATGCTTCACAAAAGGTACAGTAAGACATCTCAATAAGAAAAGTGATCTCTGGGCACTTTGTGTTATATTACATTATATCGAGTCTGTCTAAGAAGGGGAGCTTTGGCGCACGATTAAGGTGTTGTCGTTGTGACCTATAGAGGCCATGGGTTCGAATCTTGAAAGCAGCCTCTTGTAGAATATTTCTGCAAGATAAGGTTTGCCTACAACACACCCTTGTAGTGGGACCATTCCCCGGATCTCTACTCAACCGGGACGCTTTGTGAACCGGACTGTCCCTTTTATATCGAGTCCATCCAAGAATTCTGAAATCCGAGCAATAATCATAACATTTATTTTTGGCCATTGTTCTAATGAATCTTTGCCTCTTCCTTCTAGAAAATCATACGTCGACGATGATAAACCACAGTTCAACCCTCTCTATGTAAGTATTACCACATAAGCATATCTCTTTTTCGTTTCTAATTTTTATTCGAGAAGCATATATATAACCGATCCCGCTCCCTAAAACCCGAAATGCAGGTTGCAATTCTTGTCATTTTACTGTCCATTGTCTTCGCATATCTCAAAGCAAACCAAGGGACCGAGTAACCAACGTAAGCATCCTTGGGTATGTCACCAGAATATCTGCTTGTTGGAATTTGCCATGTTCTATGCCCTTTATGTTTTTCATTTTGTTTTGTGGGGTAAAATTGTTTTTACCCTTTGTTTTGTTTGTTTTTGAAATTATACAATCTTTATCAAACTGGTGATTTCCTTATTTTGGTTTACCAAGAATATAATAGGGTGAATCATGTGACTTTGTACTGTAATTATAATAAAAAGGAGTTTTCATCTTTCTATAAAACAATATGAAGAATATGAAAAAAAAAAGGTGGAAGTATAAAATGAAGCATTTATCATTGTGTGAAAACAGAGTATAAAACCTAACATTTTAAGTGAAAAAAATTATAAATAAAAAATATCAATCCTCAAACACCAATTGGACATGTTTCTATTTTCAAAATTGAAAATTGAATGGTTTATATAAAACAACCATATCTTATCAATCCAATAATTTTGTGTCCATGTAAAAGTAGCCCAAGACTATAACCATCACATAAATTGACATATCATAACACCATCATGGAAAGCAAAAGCAATTTGAGGGACGACCAATCTTCAAAACACTTAGGGTCACTGGTCCGAATCCTATACATGTAACCAGGAGTTTCAAATGGCAACTCCTCCGGCCCTAAGAATTCCATCCACATTATAAAAACGACAGACAAAAATCGATCCTTGAACAGCTAGCTACGAAACCCGTAAGCAAAGAACGATCCTTCGTTCCATATCTCAAGAAAAGAACGAGGAGATAAACAGGAATAATCTACTCTTAATCAAAGAACAACGCTTGAAAATGTTATATGGTTGGTCAAATGTAACAAGCCAAATGTGCACAATACAAAACCAAGCTATCCTAGAAAGGGAGCGGAGCAGACAAGTTTTGTAAAAGAATCCTAGGATGAAAGAAAACCGACGATTTCTTTCCTTCTAGGTGCGAGAAAAATAGTTATGGCGTATTAAGATTTAAATAATGAATTCGTTTTAAGCATAAGATGATGGAAAAGACCCTACAACAGGATGTGAACAACGGCCAGTCCAACCGCTGATATAGACAAAACAGTGCCTATGCAGTACATGACGATATCGTGTTTTGCGTTTTCCAGTTGAGCTCTCGATGCATGAATTTCCTGCACGGCGAGTAGAGGCGAGCTTTATATACGAGATTTTTCGTTAGGAGGAATCATATCTTGTCATGGGGAAAAAGAAAGAAAGCAGTGGACTTACTCGGTTAAGTTTGTTTGTGAGCCTCGTTCTCTCCTCATTCTGATTTGCTAGATCTTGTCGTATTCGACTGAAATTTAGAAACACGCAACCGATTGGATCAGCTGAAAACTCGGACGAAGCACATGTTGAACACAGACAACATAAGTGAAGTAAAGGAACACAAACCTGGAGGCGATTGTGAAAGCGATTCGACAAGGAACGGCGAAACCTTAGACCACAAATCAGATAAAACACAAAGATACTATGAGACCTAAATGAATCAACCAACGGTGCGAGAGACAAATAGCGAGACCTGCTACAAGGATAGACAAGACGACGACAACGACGACGAGAGGAAGTCGGAGACAGAGACAAGCGATGTCCGAGGCAGCGAGGCGGTCTAATCGGCGATGGTGCAGTGTCGGTAGAGAGCAATGTAGCTTAGGGTTTGAAAATATCAACAATGGTTTACGTGTGTTTATATACAAACTTGCGAGAGAGAAAATAAGGAAAGAATACAATCTCAACAGATTTATAAATATCGAGATTTATGGATAGTTAAATGTACAATAGTTTTGTTGGATATTGTTATAAATATAAATATTTATTTTGGGTTATAAACAATTGAGTTTTTAATAAATCTTCACATTATAAATTTGTTAAATGATCAATATAGTTAGTATCTTAATCATAGATTCATTAACTTGTCCATTAATAATATATGATATTTTATAATAGGATAATTTAATAAATAAAATATAAAATTTGTTATTATTTATCGTAGATTTTTTAATTTTATTTTTTAGAAACGAAAGTCTTCATATATATTTTTAAAAATAAAATTTTATTTAAATTCATTGAGATTTTAAATGTTTTTTTTTCTAAAGTATTGAATTTTTTATTTTCCATTCATAAAGAAGGTGTAAAAAAAAAGAGAGACCAACTTTATGGGCAAGGAACAAAGTAGGCGGCGTGTAGTTCACGAACTCGACCCCGAAAACATCGGTCCAATTTCAGGCAAGTCAATCTCTCTCTCTCCACACGCCATTCGATTTCTCAGATTCCTTCTTCTGCCAAAACCTCGACAACGGACGGAGCTTTAATCTGTGGCCCATCATTGTCGTCGTAGATCACCTCCGTGTAAATCTTCTCTCTGGGTTCTCGATATTTTCGCTGCCGTTAGATTCAGATTCCGAGGAAGCTTTTTCTTTTCAGCCCAACTTCTGAAAAATTGATGGCAATGTACAAGCGCTTGGCTGTGTTTGGGGTTGAATCCGCAGTTTCCTTCGCCAAATCTCGAGGTCTGAACGCGTCTCATAGTATGATTGATCGTCGATTCAATTCGGAGCCCGTCAAATCCGACAGAAAGCGCGCCTTTTTGGTTGACACCTTGGCTCTGGTAATGGTTCCCTTTTCATCATCTAGGTGAAAAATTTGTCTTTCGAGGGTATTAGATTTGTTGGGGTTTTGGCTGATTTTGTCGGAATTCGGAAAACATAATCTTCTGGCTGTGTTTGTCTGAAAACAACGAATCTGTCTGGTTGTATTTGTTTTAAAGGTGAGAGGTCTTGAAGCTCAAGGTGTTCCATCCAAACAAGCTGAGGCGATAACATCCGCCATTACAGAGGTTTTGAACGATAGTTTGGAGAATGTCTCTCACTCTTTTGTTTCCAAATTAGAGATGGAGAAGGTACTCTTATTAATTGTGAACGCAAAGTGTTTGATGATATTACTGTGAGCCTTGTTTGATCAATGGAGCTCATGAACAAGTAGAGTTCAATTCATTTTTCTTCTCTTATGCTTTGGTTTATGTCTCGGTTTTGCAGATTAAGATGATTGAAGAATCGAATCTTTCAAAATTCAAATCTGAAGTAAAAAGCTCACAGGTAATATACCCTCTTGCTACAATTTAGTTTTTTATGTTAAAAATGTGTCTCCTTGGTATTAAGGTTTTCAAAATTCTTGAGGGTATTATTTACGCTTAAATTTTTTGTGGAATATCACTCGGCTAGATACTTGGTAAATATCATGGCTTGTGGTGGGTCTCTACACTTTTCACACTCTTATATTCTCCATTTCTGGTAATGGGCATGAAACCATTTTCCTAGCTCGTATATTTGATAGAAATGAAGTGAAGAATGTTTCTTCTTAAAGAATTGAGTTTGAGAGTTGTGTTGCGGCAACACTGTTGCCTTGAAAGAAGAACATCTCGTTGATTCATTTAGATTATGTCAATAGATAGTTGAAACTGGTCGTTTGAATTACCTTGGAGTAAGATACGCAACATAGATTACTTTAAATATTTGCGAAAGCATGTCATTTTGTTATTTGTTTCCTTTGGAGTGAATGTTTCTATCACGATATTGATCTCGTGTTTGAAGCTTTGCTTTGATTTTGCTGTCCATCGCTTCTTATTCAACTAACTTGAAGAAAGTATTTACTTTTACCCTGTAGATTCAGGGTTTGCTTTTCTCAAGCTAGTTACTATTGTTTCAAGGGATAGGCTTAAGAAAGAAGATGAACACAATCAGTTGTCTAATGGAAATTTAATTATCATGACACGTTCTTTGTTGAATCACGAAGAAGCGTGGGTAGATCACATGTGTTTTGCTTCTACTGTTTGATGGTCATCTTGTATAATTCTTTTTTGTGTTTTCTTTACATGTTTTGCAAACTTACAAATGAATTATATGGCATAACCATGTCTATGTTTTTTGTTTTTGTCCTTACAGGAGCATCATATTTCTACTCTGCAACGTGAGACAGAAAAATTAAGGGGCGATATAGAGAAAATGCGAAGTGAACTAAGGTTCTTCACTAGTATTATTGTTTCCCCATTTCCGTTGTTTTCTTATATGCTTTGATCATTCTTAAAATATGACTCATCCCAGGTACGAAATTGACAAGGCTAGTGCCGGCCAACGTTTGGATTTGAATCTTGAAAGAAGGTAAAAAAATGTAATACGTCTTCTCATTTGTCACATTCTTCAATACCACCAACCACGCAACCCGCTTTCTGATTCCAATGTTGAATCTCCAATTCAATTATATGATCCAATCGATTACATATTTGTAAATTTCAGTCGAATACGAGAAGAACTAGCAGATCAGAATGCAGTGACAATGAACCTCACAAACACGCTTGATCGAGTAAGTCTACTACTTGTTTTCTCTATGACAAGATCTGATTCCTGCAAACGAAAATTTCTGTTAACCTTGACATAAAACCCGCCTCTGCTCGACCTGCAGGAAATTCATGCCTTGAGAGCCCAACTGGAAGCCGCAAAGTATGATGTTATCAAATACTGCATAGGTACTCTTGTGTCTATATCCGCAGTTGGACTGGCCGTTGTTCGCATCCTGTTGTAGGGTATGTTTCATTATCTTGTGTAGGGGATTCTCTCATCCTAGGATTCTTTTACAGAACTTGCACGCTTCTTTTCTCGGGCAAGCTTGGTTTTGTATTGTGCACCTTTGGCTTATTACATCTGATCAACTATATAATATTTTCAAGTGTTTTTTTTTGTTTTTCTTTTTGATAATGGTGATGCCTAGGTGGGGCTCTAACTGTGATTGTGGAAAAACACTTTGGAGCCCGTTTATCTCTTTTTTTTTTTCGGGATATGAAACTAAAGATCGTTATTTGCATACGGCTCGTAATTAATTGTTTGAGGATTGGATTTTGGTCGTATTTTTATAATGTGGATGGGATTCCTAGGGCTAGAGGAGTTACCATTTGAAACTCCTAGTTACAATGTAGGATTCATGGGGCGAAGGGTTGCGTCACTACCATACGCAAACGATGAAAAGGGAACAATTGGAAGAGCCAAGGTGTCAGACCAAAAACACACGTTTTTCATTAGATTTGACGGGCTCCAAAATGAATCGACGATCAATCAGAATATGAGACGCGTTCAGACCCCGAGATTTGGCGAAGGAAACTGCAGATTCAGCCCCCAAACACAGTCAAATGCTGCTACATAGCCTTCAATTCAGAAGTTGAATGAACAAGCTTCCTAAGAATCATAATTAAAGGTTGAATAAACAAGCTTCCTAAGAATCATAATCAAAGGCAGCCAACGCATATCTAAGAAGGCAGAGAGGAGAAGGTTTACGAGGAGGTGATCGACAACGGCAATGATAGGGCATAGATTGAAACTCCGTTCATCGCGGAGGTCTAGAAATCAGAGAGAGGGAGAGAGATTGGCTTGTCTTGAATTTGCCGAAACTTATATGTTTTCGGGGTCGAATTCATGAACTAAACGCTGCCCACTTTGTCCCTTGCCCAAAAGGTTGGTCCCTCGGTTTATTTCCTTTCTTTTTTTGACTTCTTTATAAAATAAAAAATATAAAAAATTAAACACTTTAGAAAACATTTAAAATCTCAATGAAAACTGAAAAGCAAACTTTCATATCTAAAGAATTTATTTTTTGTTTTTTTATAAATTGTAATATTATACATACATATATATATATATATATATATGTATATATATCATTTCGGAATTAAAACGGTAAACATATACCCTCCAGTTGTGCCATATTCTCTCCCCCAAAGCTGTTGATGCATCTTTTGCATTTGCAAGGCTTATGAAGACCTAATACGACATCGTTTCGATCAAATATCACAAGAACACGAAGCAGGCAGTGAATCAGAATATATCCCAATTGGTAGCCTATTGGGTTTTATGAATGTATTTGAGCCTTTGAATGGGCCTTATTAGGTGAACGGTATACGGCCCAATAAACTCAATCCTAGTGAAGTCGCTGCTTCATTCAGAAGCTCTTGTTAGGGCGTCAGAGTATACGACGGGAAAGGGGAAAATACTTGGCCATTGATAACGACGAAGAGCGAAGGAGGGAATAGATCGGAGAATGAGCGGAGCATCGACGGCGGCGTATTTGGCGCGGCGGGCGGCGCAGAGGGAGAGGGTTCAAATTCTCTATCGTCGTGCCCTCAAGGACGCTCTGAACTGGGCCGTTCATCGCCATATTTTCTACCGCGACGTCAGTTCTCTCAGATCCTGAATTCATCCGATCGAATCCATTATGTTCTTGGTTTTTTTTTTTCGATCTAGATTTTAGGGTTTCATCGTTTTTCCCTCAGGCCTCTGATCTACGCGAGAAGTTCGATGATAACAAAGATGTGGTTTGTTCCCTTTCCCATTTCCATTTCCATTTCGGTTGATTGATTGATTGCTTGTTTTTTCGTGTTCATCGGTTTGATTGTCGCTTTGATGAATTAATTTTGCAAAGCAGTGATTCTGAAGCTATGGTTGGGTGTGTTTGGATTTGGAATCGGTGACATGGGTTGTTAAACTGAAGGGGAAATGGTTGTTTCTTTTTCTTCTCTGGGTTTAAGTACTGTGTCTTGTGGTTTTTCCTTGTTTGATCCTTCAGATGTTTGCAATCTATCAATGCTAATTCCTTAAAAATTATGAAATTTGTGAACATCTGATCTCTGTTTTTGCCCAGATAGTTGAATGTGGGAGCAGTAGTATTGATGCATTGCACGATTAAACAGTTACTTGAAGGAAAATTATTGCTATGCACTTTTTGTGTCAACTTGTTTCACCCTCTACCTAGCGGCACTTTATGATACCTAGTTCCGCTTAACGTTTCATGGTTATGTATCACTGGAGATTAACTGTTTTCATGACACATGACTGGTTTCTGAAATTTAGTTGGGAGTCAAAATCTAGTGGAGTTCGCTCTCGTAAACCATCGGCAGAGCCACGGCATTGATGGTTGCTGTTTTGTGTGCTGTCTGTTATTATTAACTCTCAACGTCTGTATCCTCCTGATGTGATTTCTTTTCTTCGGTGGTGTTGTGTAGGAAGACGTAGACAGAATCGATAATCTGATTGCTTATGGTGAAGCACAATATAACAAGTGGCGCCACCCTGATCCTTATATCGGTGAGAGCATTATGACCCTGAAATGAACAAAAGGGTGGAATGTTTTTTCAGTTTTATGTAACTAGTTTCACATTAGGGGACGTGATTGCTCCTATTCTCTCGTTCAATCGGTTCAAATGGCTAACCCACATTTTCTGTTGCAGTTCCATGGGCTCCTGGTGGTTCAAAGTTCTGTAGAAATCCACCTCCACCCTCTGGGGTAATTTCAGCATTAACACTTCTATCACTTTTATTCAAGACATTAGTGTATGGGTTTGTCTGTGTTTCTTTGCAAGCACTGATAGTCTTTGTTCCCGAATGCAGATCGAGATAGTGTATGACTACGGTCAAGAAGACAACCCATAACCGCAGCTGCATCTTTATGCCCATCAATAAAGTGAGTTACTTGATTGCAAACCTTTTTCATAAATCTTCCTCATCACTGCCATTAGTGTACGGTCACGGAAAAACTCTCAAGATTTCGAATTTCAACCCTTGTGTCATCTGTTGCAGGATTTCAGACAACCTTGCTGTGGTTTTGAGAGAGAAAGATACACGACTTTCCCATCGTGTGGATGTTGTTTTAAGGTTTCGGACCAATTGTTGTTTCTGGTAAGGAGCTCTGTTTCCGTTTCTTCGTCTTTCTGAAAAATCATTCGGGCGCTGTTTGCTGCTCAGACTCATAATGGATTGTTATGTTATGCTCTGATCATGACAATGACTACAATCATTTCATGTGCGTGTATGCGTATGAACTAGAAATCTCCAGAAGAGTAGGAGGATGTGTAATGAATGAACTTAGACGGAACTTCCGAAAAATATTTTATTAGGAATCTGCAGCCCTGATGGATAGCATATGTGATCCAAAGAATCTATATAGAAAAGGGGGTTACAACTCTCTTGTAATGCAATACCAATCCCCAGCAACTTGTTGCTTGCCTGGGATGCCGGTCAACGCACTGATAGTATCACGTCTCCGACCATGCGACTCACTCTCGAACATACCGCAGCCTCCGGGGTAGACTGATGCCGAAAAATTCGGAAATTCCTTTCTATCCTAACTGAATAGCACACAGCCTGCGATACAATCTTGATTAGCGTTGATCTGTTCCCCGTTGTGTTAATCGCCATGTTCTCATGTCATTGAGTGCAATCATGCAAGCTTTCTGGTAGCGAAGGCCAGCAAGCACTCGCGAATCGACGCCAAATAAGTGATGAAAAACTACGCTCAAAGGAGAGCTGGGTATGCGATTCTTCACGGGTTTGACACAAGACACAATTAACATATTGCAGCTTCATCACGCCTTGCCCCTGGTAGTAGCCAGCCACCTCCAGACGAAACAGACTTAACCTTGACATGCAATGGAACTCTCAACTGCCAAGGACCAGCAAGGGCCCCAAATCAGTCAATAGAGCATGCCAGGAGCTCGCCGTCGCCCCACCTCGGACCCTGCATTTGATGAACTTGCCGACCTCGCCTTTTAAGGGCACAGGATTTCTCCTTGTTTCGGCTTACAAATCAAAACCCAAGCCACATGGACCCTTTTGGTGTGAGTTTCTGTGACCACAAATAACCAATGCAATGAGTTGAATCTTTCGGGCATAAGAGAGAAGCTTAGTTGATGATGAGTTTAGCTTCTTCTCAATCCTTTCTAACATCATTGATAAGGTTCGTATTATTCCTTGACATCATACGGGTGTCCATTTTATGTATTTCTTGTTTTATTTGTAATGTTCTCATCTGCTATAGAAAAAAAATATATTGCGCATATATGATGTTCAATAATAAATATCAATGTGAGACCATATATATGACTTTTTTCATAGATGGATAACTTAGAACATAAATGATTCATATCAAGTTGAGACTATATATATGAATAAAATTTATAAATGGAAAAGAATCACATGAACATCAATGTCAGACCATATATCTGACAACATACATGATATACATCAAGGTAAAACAACACATATGAAATATTTGATTAAACCAGATTTTTTAGCTTTCATTTGAGATTTCACTGCTTGAATTTCATCATCAAGCTTTTTTTCAAGTTTTCACATATTTGCATTATGATCTACTTATTGATATAACAATTCTACCAATATCCGATTGAAATTAAAAAAACAAAATCTATTAGATTAGATAAACATCAATGTCATGCCATATATATACATGATACACATTAATATAAGATCATATATATGAATAATTTTTATACATGAAAAATAACCACATGATAAACATCAATGTCATATCATATATATGACTTGTTTGCTATATAGAGAGCATAACAAATACATGATACACATTAAGGTAAGACCATATATATATGAACAATTTTTATTTATGAAGAACAACCACATGATAAATATCAATGTGAGACCATATATATGACTTGTTTTATAGATGGAAAACTTAGAACATAGATGATTCATATAAAATTGAAACTATATATATGAATAAAATTTATACATGAAGAAGAATCACATGATAAACATCAATGTCAAACCATATATCTAACAATATACATGATATATATTAAGGTAAAACAATATATATGAATAATTTTTATACATATTGAATAACCACACGATAAACATCAATGTTCGACCATGTATGCAATCTATTTGATACATGTAGAGAATAAAACATACATATTTAATATCAATGTGAGACCATATATAAAAATAATTTTTTTATAAGTGGAGAACACAGAATCTCATGATGCACATCAATATGAGACCATATATATGAATATTCGATACATGGAGAACATGGAACCTGAACTTTTCACTTTAGATTTGAAGTTCGAAATATTCGATTCTTGAGTCATGTCGATCTACAGAACCGAGATATAAACAAAAGCATAAGATAACATGGTCTCACAATAAAACTTTATATGCAAAATCCATAAGAGCAATACGTTCTCCATTTCTGTATTAGAAACAAAAGATTTAGAGACTTCTTTAATGCCAATTGTTATCGCCTAGCCTTATTTGGATGGAATATCCTGAATTTCAAGATCTATTTAGACCAATAAATAAGAGCTTGTATATAACCCGTGTAACTGAAATTGAAAAAACCAATTTAGAAATTGGGATGAATATTTGAGAAATAGAAGAACAATAGAGAAATCAAAAAAATCATTTGAAAAGTTTGGATGAATATCTGAGAAATTGAAGAACAGTAGAGAGAAAAAACTGTTCAGAAATCGAACGGAGCCCTGAAACACCTTTTAACTGAAACCTTGCCACAACACTGATGAAATATTTGATTAAACCAGATTTCTTGGCTTTCATTTGAGGTTTCAATGCTTGAATTTCATCTTCAAGTTTTTTTTTCGAGTTTTCTCATCTTTGCATTTTGATCTAATTGTTGATGTAACAATTCTATCAATATCCGACTGAAATTAAAAAAAAAAACGGAACCCATTGGATTAGATAATTAAATGAAAATCTAATTTTAGAATTAGATAACGAGCTCAATGAGACATATGACTTTTCTTCAATAGTGAAATCCAAACATTAGCAAACAATAACCTTGTCGATTTTACACCATAGTTCTCTTCGAATTCTGTCTATTTTGCCGCGTAAAAACTCTATCTCACGTCGTGTGATAGTAAAATGATTCTCCTGCAAACCAAGAACGTCCATGTGAGATATGATATATTTGATACATGAAGAGAATATAACATACATGATTCATATCAACTTCAAACCATATATATGAAAAGAATTTATACATGGAGAACATAGAACCTCATGATAAACATTAATGTGAAACCACATAATGAACATGAATGTCATACCATATATATAACATGTTTGATACATGAAGATCATACATGATACGTTTCAAGGTAAGACCATATATATGAACAATAATTTTTATACATTGAGAACAACCTCACGATGAACATAAATATGATATCATATATATGATTTATTTGATACATTTAGTAAATAGAACATACGTGATGAACATCATTGTCATGACCATATATATGATCTATTTGATAAATGGAAACCATATAACATACATGATGTACATCAAGGTTAGATCATATGTATTACCTATTTGATATATCAGGATGAAACTATATATATAAATAATTTTTATACATAAAGATTATAGAGCCTCATGATGAATATCAACATCATACCATATATATGATCTTTTTTATAAATGGAGAACATATAATATACCTGATACATATCAAGATGAGATATGTTTTTTAATAAATCTATAGTCTGTTTTGTCGAAAAAGATAATCTTGTGCAATCGGATTGATCGTATGTTTTTAATAAATGTATAGTTTATTTTATCAAAAAAGATATATTTTAAACTGTTATAAACAAACTTGTTATATATAGATTTTTAAAAATAAAAAATCGTAAAAATTTAGTTATATGACGTAAACAATGATAAATTATAAAAATTTGAAAGATTAAGCAAATATAAATTCACCATACACAGTTATTATTAAGCCTAGAGGGAAAAAGAAAACAAGTATTTTCCCTTCATAATTAGAAGGTGAAACAAGTTAACAAAAAAAAGTATATAGCAAGAATTTACTATTAACTTTTTAACAGAATTTGACAAAAAATTCTTTCTATGGATTTTTTTTTGTCAACTTGTTTAAAAAAGTCATATGATTGTACATATGTATATGGGTGCATGTGTGTATGTATAATATGATCCCAAAAAAACTTGGAATGTTATGAAGGAATTAGGATTAGGACCATATCCAAAAGTTATTTACTTCAACTTGTTCACAAAAAGTCAGATTCTACAAGGATTGCTTTACATGGTTCTCCTTCATTCTTTAAACCAAACAAGTGGAAATGATCCTCTAAAACTGCAACTTGTTCACCAACATAAACGATTCTTTGTTTTGAAGCATGAGGCAGAGAAAATACTTTATATATATATATATATATATATATATATATATATATATATATATATTTTGCAGGATTGACAAGAACCAGACCAAAAAAGGAATGAAATAAAAGAGAGCCACCGAATATCTCACGTGATAAAGGTCCAAACTTTCACCCTAAAGAAGAAAGAGAGAATATTCGACGATACAAGCAAACACGCAAATCATTATAATTTTGATTTTATATTCAGAGAGTCAGTTCCCTAAAAATTCTAATCACTTTGGTTGAAAGAAACAATGATGATTTATTTATTTTATTAAAAAATAAAATAAATCATTTGTCCCAATCCAAAGGAGCTAAAAAAAACCCAACGGTTTCATTATTAATGCAAAAAAAAAAAAAGGATACAGAAAAGATCCCAAATTTAAATATTCGGGTCGTCTCCTCCACGAGGGCTTACAACGACGGCTGATAATAAAAGATAATAAGCACAACACCATGACCTAAGTCCAGAAAAAAAAAAAAAAAAAAAAAAAAAAAAAAAACATTGTTCATAAAACTTGTACAAGTATAAGAGAAAACTTCGCTAAAGTAGAGGGACATGGACAAACCTGTGAGACAAAGGTTGAGGAGGGAAAGA